GGAGATACTACTGGAAATTAATTTAATTGCTAGTGACAAGAACTTCTTTTGTTTAAGCATCAGTTGTCATGGTGTGGTTATGTTGAGAGGTTTTTCACCTGTAAAACACACTCTGGCTGTGGTATTAGGAGGTTTTCACCTCTAAAACGCATGGCCCGACCATGGTGTTGTGTTTCTTGGGTGTGCTTGTGGCTCTTTTGGGATTGGAGATTTGGGCTGTTCATTCCCCTTCATCCTGTCATCATTGCACAATGAGTTCTGAGGTTCAGTAGAAGATGTGAATCCCACTGTTCTTCTGTAAGGCTTTGAGGTATGCCTTAATCAATTTAGAAAGCAGCAAGCTGTGATTGCATCTAGCAATAAAGCACACTCAGCCTCTTCTCCTGTGCCAAATTTAGCCATAAAGGTCTGAATTCAATTCCTAATTTTCCATAGATTTCTAGCAATGACTCAGGCAAATAAGTAAATCTTCCTCAGCCTGTTCCAGAGCTCCTGTTCACTGAATTGTGAGTATCCATGGGGACAAGGACTGCTTTAATGCCTTTGGAAAATGAGTTCCCCCTGGGTAAATCTCCCTGTGCTTCAGTAGTGCTGCTGACAAATAGCAGGCTGTAACTTGGCCGCGAGTTACTGACTGAAGAAGAATGTTGGCAGGATTCTGATAGGGAATGAAGCTGTATAATCTTTTTTCTTGATTTGCAAGTTGTCTCATGGCATGTACTGTTTGTTCACAGAGAGGGGATTTTATCCTTTAGGATTACTGTAAGTGATAAGTGCTTAAAACTGAGTATATGGGGTGTGGGAATGAAAGGTCCTGGATGCTATTAAACATTTATGACATGGGCAGGATAATACTAAAGATACAGGACTGGTACATGAAAGCAGAACTGTGCATCTGTCCATAAATCCACGGGAAACCGACAGTTCCACAGGAGACAGCTGGCAGTGGGTCCCATGGCTGATTTCACACTCGAGGCCATCTCTGATTAGAAGAGTAGTTGTGGTACATGAGCAAAAGTACGTACTTGGAATGCAGATGTGAAAATGGAATGTTCATTCTGCTGATGTAGGTATTTGATTTCTGTCCCTGGCTAAGAAGTGCCTCTGTTTTTTCTTTCTTTGTCACCAGCATGGGTCAGGCTTCTGCATGATGGAGGTGAGCCCTGCCCTTGTTTCTGACCTAATGCTCCTCCTTGCCTTACAGTCAGGCCTTCATCTGTTCAAAATGAGAGAAAATGAAATAGCCATCAGTAAATGCAGCTATGTCAGTTTAAGAATTTAAAAACAAAACACAAAACTCTCAAGAAAACATTATTTATAGGCTAGCTGGACACAGAAGTCCTTAGGCCAGGAAGTAGGTAAGATATCCAAGTGTTTAAAGTAGTTTAAAATTTTTTAACGTTAGTGAAAATTCAAGACTTTAAAAGGAGAAAATTAAAAAATTTCTGTGAAAGTGCAAAGCAACACAACTTTCTAGTTTGCAACAGCTGTGCTCCAGACCCTGCTCCTACATGGTTCTATGCATTGAATCTGAAAAATTTACGTAATCTTCTTTGCAAGAGCCCTTTTCTTCATGGTGGGGGGATGGAGTTCATTCCCAAATCTGTTTGCTCCTTGTAAGGAATTAGGCAAGAAACTTGACCTTGTCTGTTAATCTTGGAAATCTGAAGGCTCAGGTGAAAGCCAGTCTCCTGCTTGTATAATTTTCAGATCCTTAGTCAGAGCCCATATGTTACAACCTGGAGGAAATGATGCTTGGGGATGACTAACTGAACATGTTCCTGCTGTTAATTTGAGTGTCATTCCAGAAATTTAATTAGTAAGTTTTCCCTTTCCTTTTGTTAGCACATTTACTTACTAAAATTCCTGTCTTTGCTGTTGTTCCCCATAAGGAACTTAATGAAGAGGTAAATTTTATATTAACAGAGAGAAGCTTTTTTTTTGCCCCTGGCTGTGATGAGTAGGGAGAAGCAGAGAACATACATGTGTTAGATTAGCAGAAATTTGATTATAGATAGGATATTCACTTCTTTGTATCTTCCTGCTTCAAACATCATGTTAATACAGTTTAAATGAGTGTGGGATTTACCAAAATTGAGGCTCTAAAGTGCTAATTGGAAATTCATGGAATCACAGAATGGTTTGGCTTTGAAGGGACCTTAAATCCCATCCAGTGCCACCCCTGCCATGGGCAGGGACCCCTTCCACTGTCCCAGACTGCTCCAAACCCTGTCCAGTCTGGCCTTTGGCAATGCCAGGGATCCAGGGGCAGCCACAGCTGCTCTGGGCACCCTGTGCCAGGGCCTGCCCACCCTCACAGGAAACAATTTCTGTCTCATACCCAGATGATCTTTAGGGCCCCTTCCAACCCAAACTATTCCATGAGTCTATGACCACCTTTCTTTGTCATGACCTTTCCAAACAATCCTGTTCTCTATCTTAAAATGTAATGCCTAGAGGTTGTTTCAGGCTTGCACCCTTAGCTTCAGGATGAGGACATTTTGCCTTGTGTGGATTATGCTATGGGGAATGAGTGTCTGTGATCCCAGTGAAGGTTTCTTGGGTTTGGATTAAACCCTGAGTGAGTCATGCAGTTAAACCAGTGTGTCTGCTGCTTCAGAGTAGAAAACACTTTGCCCCTTAAGCCCTTTCAGAATCAGCTTATGTTTTTGCCAGCGACTCCTCTGTCAGGTTCAGCCTGGAGGAATTTCAAGGAGCCCTGGTGGCACTGGAGACCCTCCCGTGGTGGAGGCTGCAGCCGCAGGAGTGACCGCTCTGCCCGCGCCCTTGCCTCTCCAGCTGGAAGACAATGCTCAATTCTTCAACAGTGCTCAATGCTTTTTCATCAATCTGATGAAAAAAAAAAAAAAATCCAGATTTTTTCTACTGTAATTACAAATAAAACACACATTTGCCTTTCAGAATCACTTTGTTGCAGTTGCCAAAATTATCCTGCTCATAATATGTAGAATATACAGAATACGGTTGTGTGCTGAAGGATAGTTTTAAAAGCTACCAATAAAGTAGCAGTGGAAAAGTTCTCACAGTGCTCAGAAACGAGTCAAGCACTATGGTATTACCTTTTTTTTTTTTTTTTTTTCCTTTTTTGTTTTCCCCACATTGGAAAGTTTTTGCAAATCTGCTGGATCTATGTGGCCACCTTTCCTTTCCTCTGCCAGCTCCCACTCTGCTCTTCCTGCCTAGAATGAGGACTTGATCCTTCTCCTTCGTAACAGCAGTGTGTCTGGTTTATTCTACAGGTTTTAAATTAGAAGGAAACTCAGCAGTAGGGAAGAAGTGATGGATTTGGGAGCAGTTCTGTGGCTCTTCTTTCCTGACTCGTTAGACAGCCTGGGGTTTTTTTTTGGCTTTATTTTTTTGCTTTAGAAGAAAGGCGGCTAGTGCAGAGCAACAGAGGTGCTGCCTGGCTCGGCTGTGGGCATTCCATGTGCTGCTGTCCCTATGGAGCATGGGGGGCTCTGACTGCCCTGGGGACCCAGGCCAGGTTATTGCAGGCACCCTGCACAGCCCAGTCCAGGGCAGCTGCTGCTGCTGCTTGGGCAGGGTTTGCTCTGATGCTGCTCCACGGATCTCAGAGGGAGCAGAGAGCACCCTGAACAGCCTCAGTGCCAATGGGAATGCTCCCCCCATGCACACACAGCACTGTGGCAGGGTTTTGTCATCCTCCAAGAGCCAAATTAAGGTTCCAACACTGTTTCCTCTGATGAAGTCTCCGTGTGAAACGTTCGTAGCCATGGGAATTCTCATTCCCATCTTGAACTGTCTGGGATTGTGGGTGAGGACAGAGTGTGGAAATGGCAGTGGCTGATGCTTTTGCATCTTGGCTACAAGTCAGCTCTGTTCCCGTTTAATTCACTCTGTGTGCATAGGACTGCAGCTCATGTAGACGTGCCTAAGTGACTTGAGAAAAGAAGGAAGTCTGAGGTTAAAATATGAACTAATTAATCTTGGGGATTGGTGAGCCTTTGGCTTTCTGAGTAAGGGCACCTTCTAAAGATCCCAAAATCTCCATTTCTAGGGCAGGGGTGGGCAGTGCTTTGGCCAAGGGGGGCAAACCAGGCAGGCATGATGGTGGGGTCTGGGTTGGAACTCCCCTGCTGCTCTGTTTCATCATCCTGGGAGGTTGAAGCGAGTGGCCGGGCTGCCTGTTTGAGGTCTCCATGTGCTGGGGAGGTCCCAGCAGCCCCGGAGCTTCTCTTGAGCCATGGGAGAGACAGAGAGGCTCTGCATGCGCTGGACAGGGTCACGTCACAGCCTGGAGCTTGTGGGAAATGCCCTGAAATTCCTGAGGAAAGCCAGAGTAGTAGAACATGACATTTTCACATTTCTAACATAAAGAATTTCCATGCATAAGCAGCCTATGCAAGAAGCTGAAGGACAGCTGCAAACACTTCTTTTATCAAAAATAAGGGAAAAGTCTCTAAAATGAAGCAGAACAGTAAACACATAGAAAAATTGACGTATTTGGATTTTTTTGGAAGGTAACACGGTTTTAATTGAACCTGAGATAAACAGGGTGGGCTGTAGAACCAGTGTGGTGAGCTGCACGGACCTCAGCTGGTGCTGTGTACCAGAGCATCACAGGAGCAGCTGAGGGCAGTGGGAGCCGTCCTGGCTGTGAGAATATCCATACCTGGAAATGGCATCCTGTGGGTATTAATCCCTTGAATGAGGAGCCTCAGAACACCCAAACATGAAGAAATAGCTGAGGGTTGATCCATCATGCCACAGGTGTGTTCATGGTGCCTGAAATATTAGTGCTGTCATGAGCATGGCATAGCACAGGCATCTCTTTGTCTTCTTGATACTGGATTTAGGCCAAGTGCCCTAGTTCACAATGCTGCTGCTCTCTTACATAAAAGATTTTATAATTGCTCTTGACACAAGCATAAAACAAATCTAAAATTCTGAATACCCTGGCAATGCAGAGCCTTTATTTTTGTCTGTCTCTAATAATAATGTCTCATTTTGGCTTATAGGACAGAAAACTCACAAAAGTAGAGAGGCAGAGATTTAAAGAGGAAGCAGAAATGTTGAAAGGTCTACAGCACCCAAACATCGTGAGGTTTTATGACTTCTGGGAATCCTGTGCAAAAGGCAAAAGATGCATCGTGCTGGTTACCGAGCTGATGACCTCTGGAACGTTGAAGACGTAAGTACTGTGCTCCTGGCAAGGGGCTAAGAATAGCAGCAGGCATTTATAGCAAAATCCTACTTTTGTATGCTGAAAAAAGCCATCTCCAGATAAAAGCAAAAAATGGAGCTGTTCTCTGGTGTCTGTCATTTGTCCCTGCGTTTGAACCGCAGTAGATTGACGGGCAGAATTTTGGCCTCCATCTCTTTCTGCCCGCTTCCCTGTTTCGGTTATGCAAGTCGAAGCTGTTGTCTGGTGTGTTTCATCTTCCACCTGTGACGTCTGGATTTGTCAGGGTGTGTTTTGTGCTTGCTTTTTGGCTTTTATTTGCATGTTTTGTTAGGGAATTCAAATGGAGTAGCACTTGAATGGTAGAATCTCTAAGAAGCTGAAGGTGCTCTAGGTTATCTCCTAAAAACGTATTAATTAATAGCTTCTGGTACTGACAGTCATGCTAAGGCTGATATAAAGCAGTTGGCGTGAATTTTGGAACAGATTTTCAGCCCCAGTGGGAGCAGTACTCAGCCGGTGTGCTGCTCTGCCAGTGCATTAGCAGACCCTACATCTCCCCCCAATGCCCCATCCCAACCAGCGCTTCAGGCAAATAGAAAGAAATGCAGGTGCATGGTACAAAGGTCTAAGTTTTGTGGTTAAAATTAAACTTCAGTATTCTTCTGATTCTAAATATATGAACATATTCTAAAGCTCTTCGCTGCATTAAATGAATCACTGAACTCTTGGACTTCAAAATATTTGGTTGTATTTGCACCAAAAATGCGTATTAGCATCCTTCCTAAAACTGAATGCTCTAATTCCTCCTTTGAAAAGATCTATTTCATTCCATTTTGGGATATTTCTGTGCTGCTCTTGCGGTGTCTAATAAGGGGCTTTTATCCATAATGGAGTTTCAGAAAAGTTAAGCTATGCTGTTAAAGCTCCTCAAATCACTAACAAAATGTTTTCACTTCTGTTATACCCACTTGTGTGTATGTTGTGCTCCAGGTATCTGAAGAGGTTTAAAGTGATGAAGCCTAAAGTCCTGCGGAGTTGGTGTCGGCAAATCCTGAAGGGTCTTCTTTTCTTACACACAAGAACTCCACCAATAATTCACAGAGACTTGAAATGTGATAATATTTTTATTACTGGACCAACTGGATCTGTGAAAATAGGAGACTTGGGTCTGGCAACACTCAAAAGAGCTTCATTTGCCAAAAGTGTCATAGGTAATGCTCCTGTTCTCCTTGGCTTCCCTCGGTCAGTATTGTGGCTGTCTATTTAACATCTTCCTTTCCCATTTTGCATTAGTGGTTTTTAAGTTGCAGATTGATAGTGGAAGTTAAAGTGGGTTTGGGACTGTTGCCTCTATACCCCTGTAAAAATAGGAATCAGTAAGTAATGGTATCATAACTTGCTCTTCTCCTTCCTTCTGTATCATCCTTAATGCACAGGGAACCCAGAACCAGTGAAGTCAAAACAACAGAAATTTCAGATATGTGCTTGGCTGCTGTCGGTCTGCTTAATTGAATTTATTTTAATGAACTCACGTTTGTTTATATTTGTTAAGTTTCTCTCATTTTTAACTTCTGGTAACTGGGGTTGGTTTTCTCTGTTGAGGGTCAGTATTTCTTCAAGTAATTTTTTTGCAGGGTAACAATTGTTCATGGGACATATTGGAATAATATCAATAATAACAATACCAGGAATAATATAAGTAATACCAATATTGGGAATAATTCCAGAAGTACTTACACTGGGAATAATATCAGTAATACTGATATACTGGGAATAGTATCAGTAGTACCAATACAAGGAGTTGCATCAGTAATACCAATATTGGTAAGAATATTAGTAACACTTATACAAGTTTTTGTAAAATCAGTTATGAACAGAACACCATTAAAATACACTTATGTCTGAAAGGAATTTGATGCTGTAAGGGCTTCAGGATGCTGGCAAAGTGTCTGCGTTCATTTTGGCAATAAAACTGAGCTTATAATTTTCATGAGTAGTACTGCTCCAAGGAGAGAATTAAGGAGGCTTGAAAACACTGGCGATGAGTAATGCTGCCCCCTCTGCAGAGGGAGTAGCTCTAAAGGCATATCAGTAGCTGCATTTCACATTGTCTGCAAGGGGTGAAATCAGCACACTGCGGTGTCTCTGCGGGAGCCCAGCCAGGGCAAACCTGCTCCTGCCAAGAGCAGCTGAGTGTGTGCTGAACAGCTTCACATTTAGCTGGGCTGTTATGTTGAAGGATGCTTGTGGGTATTCCTTTCCACCCCAAGGAATAGGGGGAAATGTCACTTTTGTCCTGTTTTGGAATGGTGCCAAGTATTCCATTTGCTTCTTAGACTTTATCACTTTTTCAGATTTGTTTTAAATGCTCTGTAATTCATGAGATTCACTCCTGCTGCTGAGTCGTGTTCCTTCTAAAGCAAGGCAGCAGCTCCAAAATAATTTCCTGTGGCAGCCATTAACCCTTTTTGGGCAGCAGCCTCTGCCTTGGTGACAGCTGTAACAAGCACCCAGAGAGAGGGACTACACTGAGCCTCCATGACATGGGTCTGGCTGGTTTGCTAAGGCTGGAGGAATGAGTGTCTTTGAGGTGGAAGGACAAGGTGGAAGAACATAAACATGGGAAGAGATCAATCTTGAATTTTCTGAAATTAATTTTACAAAAATGCTTGTTCATGAGTGAAGTCGAGTCTACTTCAGGAATGTATGCAAAAGCAGACCCTACTTTTGAGGGTTGTCCTTTATGTTGCCATTTAAAAAGACTTTAGGGCAAGTCAAAAAATCCTGTAATGGTTTGGATCGGAAGAGGTCATAGAGATCATCTTGTCTGCCATGGCTGGGATACCTTCCACTACCCCAGGTTGCTCCAAGCTCCATCCAGCCTGACCTGGGACACCTCCAGGTGTGACATTTCCTCAGTTTCTTTAGGGACTTGGGTGATTGCTTGTAACTGGAGAAGGGGAGATTTAGATTGGATATTAGGAAGAAACATATTAATGTGAGGGTGATGAGGCTGTGGCGCAGGATGCCCAGAGCAGATGTGACTGCCCCTGGATCCCTGGAAGTGTCCAAGGCCAGGCTGGACAGGGCTTGGAGTCACATGGGATAGTGAGAGGTGTCCCTGCTTCTCAGGGGGTGAGGTGGCTGGAGTGGATGGGATGATGGGGATGGATGGGATGATCTTTAAGGTACCTTCCAATCCAAACCATCCTGGGATATGTCAGAACTACTTTTTCTGATTCTATGTTACTTAAATTACAGTTGTGCTTTTGCTGCTGATTAATGATGACATAACAAAGCATTGATGGGATCTGCCAGGACTGGGAGCAGTTTGGGTGCTGAGGCTGGACAGACAGGGTTTATCTGGGTCTTTCTCATGGTCCAAGACCTGCCACTCTCTTTTTGGCATCCCAACAGCTTGCTGCTACTGGCCCTGGCACCACCCTTGTACTGTCCCAATACACACCGTTGCATTGATCTCTCTTCCTTAATATTTTCTAGGTAGAAAGGAAATAAATGAATTACAGTATGAAATGCAGTTCCTGGAATGAATTACCTAAGTGTTAATAGTTTTCTGTTTTGCTTTGTAAGCCCCCGCTTTTCAGAGTAGTTTGCTGAGCAGATGTTGCAGATGTTGGAAGTTGCTGCTTGTCCCCAAGCTGCAGCTCCCAGTGCCTCACTTGATATTTACCAAGTTGCATCAGATTCCTGATACCCTAATTCCTATTGAGTAGGACCTTGTTCTGTGAGTAGTCTCATTGATTTGTCCCACTAAACCAGTGACAGAATTAGGTTTGATGTTTTGTGCGTGACTCTGTAGGTGATTTGTCATACTACTGGCTTCCAAAGTGCTGTCTGCTTGCTGGTGGTTACTCTGTATCTCTGGAGGAAACAAAAAAAATGCAAATTTGCACTGAAAAGCAAGGGTGAAGGTTCTCTTCTTCCCTTCTCACCTCCCCAGCCCTGTACACAACCTTCTCTCCAGCCGGGCAGAAACCATTCTATCACTTCAGTATGGGAAGCAAAACAACCATAGCTCATTTTCTTGACCATTTTTGAAATTTTTTGTTCTTTTCCTTCCCCCTCCGCTTTCTCCTGCTTCCCCTCTGTCCCGCTTCCCCACTTTGGATTATTGTCAGCAAGCCATGGGCATGGAAGTGCATACATTGACATTGGATTTCCTCCCTGGGTGATGCTTGAGCTCTTTTGAAATTATCTTGCATGCACCTGTACACAGTTGTACTTTTTCTCAAAGGTGAAAAAGCTTGTGGTTAAAGCCACTTGGACTCCTGTAAAAAATCAACATGATCTTTGTACGTCTGTGTAGGTACACCAGAGTTCATGGCCCCGGAAATGTACGAGGAACACTATGATGAATCTGTGGATGTCTATGCGTTTGGAATGTGCATGCTGGAAATGGCTACCTCAGAATACCCTTACTCAGAATGCCAGAATGCTGCTCAAATCTACCGGAAAGTAACCTGTGTGAGTACACATCCTTAGTTGGTGTTGGATCCTGTCACTGGAAGGTTCAAAAGCATATTTTGTGAGGTGTCGGTACTGCTGAGTATATACTGCGTTCTAGAAGTTGAGGTGTCTGAGCTCTGTGTTGCACAAACGGCTTACGTGTAAGCTTACAATTCTACACTTGGAGTGTGTTTTGGTACAGCTACATCAAATATTTTCAGTTATCTTTGTCGCCGATTTTGTCTCCATCGGCCACAAATACAGCCCAATGGGCTGGTGCTTGGTAGTTTATTTCTTCTTAGAGTGTTGCTTCCAGCCCAGAGTCATCAGAAATCATTTTAAAGCCCACAAAAGGCCTTGGAAACTGCTCAGAAGTGCAGTTACCTTCATCCTGTGGCTGTAGCAGCTCCCTTGGCGTTGCAGGGAGGTGAGTGTGTGCAGCCATGGATCTGCTGGCTGCTGACCATGCTCTGCACCATGGACTGGCTGCAAACCATGCTGCACCTTCTCAGTGACATGGAATGGGTTTGATGGCTCTGGGGAGTTCCTTGACTTTATCCCTGTTATTCAAAGCTAGGTTGGGCAGGGCTTGGAGCTAGCTGGTCTAGTGGAAGGTGTCCCTGCCCATTACAGGGAGGTTGGAATGAGATGGTCTTTAAGGTGCCTTCCAGCCCAAGCAATTCTGTGATTCTGTGATCATAGAGCCACATGGTTACTCCATGTTGTTATTCCATGGCTCTTCATCACAGTGTTTATTAGCTCTGGCACAAGGTATGTTGGCTCTATTTTGGTATGGTCCTTCAGATATGGCCTAAATGCTACCAGTGTGGGCAGCTTAGGGGGCACCTCCTTGTACTCTAGAGCTTCACAGAATGGCTCACAAGAAGCTCTTCTAACTCCAGGCTCTGTAGCCTCATGTCCTGCATGTGAGACCAGTCAGGTACTCAGTATCACCATGGGGAAGGTGTGTGTGCACTTGGAGCCACAGAGAACATCGAGCTCTTCATTGCTCCATGTACCCAGGGAAGCTGTGTGCACATCTCGTAGCCATCTGGAATATTGGTAATTAAGACTTTGCAAGGCTCCTAAGCCTCATTTATCAAAGCAATAGCCAAGATGGCAAAGAATAATGATTAATCAGAAGATTTCTAATTAGATGTTATATTGCAATTTTTAGACTTAAGTAGCCATTGTTTTAAACACTGATGGAAGCCTGAGCCAACTCATTTTCTATGGCAGTAACATTTACACAGCTCATGATTAGATGGTAAATCATTATAGTTTGGTAAAACTGGCTTTATACTGGCAGCTTCAGAGAGGAGGCAGATTGTGTTTATCATATAGAAAAAACAATGGTGGAGAAGCTGCTGAGATGTCCTTGTAGGGGGTATTTTTGAAGGAGAGCTGTCTGTCAGGGAAAGCTGAAGACAAAAGCATCAGGTACCAGCACGGAGGGTGTGCAGTTTTCATCTGAATTTGGGGTGGTTGCAGTGGGAGCAAAGGCAGCAGGATTCCTTAGATGGCAAAATTGGCATTACTGTTTTTCCAAGGAAAGGGTTAACCGGCTCCCTGTGGAGTGGAGAAAGCCCTGTCAAATGCCATGAGCTGCACAACTGTCAGGCAGGAAGGAGGAGCTGGGGGTGGACCTCTGGGGTGAGGGTGCAGGAGGAGCCTCATCCTGGGGGAGATCCTCTGTCCTAGGAGGAACCTTCTGTTGGGCTCAACAGCTTCTCCAGCGGAGCTGCATCTGCAGGGGAGCTGCCAACAGCAGGGACCCTGCTCCGAGCAGCGTGAGTAAGACGTGGAGGAATTTGGGGTGTGGGGTCCTGAGCCGGCACCATGCAGTGGGTGGGGCAGTGGCTACAAAAAGACAAAGTAACTCTGAGATCACTTGGATGAAGAGTTAGGTTTGGTGATGCAGCAGCTTATGTGAGCCTTGGGGCTTATAGACTGAAATATAGTCAAAATTTGAGTGTAGGCTGAACCCAAGAGGCTGAATTAGACTGTTTTCATCCAGTATTATATTAGTTTTGGGGATCTCACTGGAGCAGAAGGTGGCTCTGACCTTCTTGGATGGAGAGGATGCCGAGCCCTGAATGCTGTAGCTTCTCAGTGGGACATTTGCTTCTTTATGAAGCTGGGGTATTTTTTGCACTAGAAATATAAATACTATTTCTAGTGTTTCAAATTGAGGATCAGTGCATTGTGAAATGTGTTTGCTGTGTCTAGCTGCCTGATGCCTTTATTTAAAACGTATAAAATAAAATAACTTTCTTGTCCTGCCTTGGGCTCAGCATTGTAGTGGCAACCACCAGAGGTGTTGATAGGTAGCCTTCATAGGGGCTGGAATTGCTGGCTAGAGTTTGCATCAAGGAGTGACAACCAACAAAATGTTTAGAATGACTGCCTTCTGTTGGGTCCCACTGAGCTGATATTCCCTCTGCTGCCCAGCACAGGCAGGGCATGGTTTGGGTTTTGCCACTATAATATCTTTTTCAGTAGTTTCTACTCTGTGTCCTAACACTCTACCACGCCCTTGCCTGCTACTAGGACATGATATACACCTCAAGTCCTGGCTGTGCAGATCATACATCTTGGTCTTCCTTATTGGTGTAGAAAATGTAAACATTACCTTTCTGAGACATGATTTCAGCATATGTCACATTCTGCACATCTGTAGTGTAAGATTATTATACTTAATTTATTTCAGTGACCTTTTATTCTGCCTGACTATATTCTTATGGCTAAATTGCTGCTTTAAGTTTTGCATTCCTGTTTTTCTACGTGTGTCTGTATGTTTGCAGTTGTCCAGGATAAGGAGGTGGTCATGTTAGGGAATGTGCAGAGGGGCTCATTTCTCTGCCAGACAAGACGTGCTTGTTCCAACTTGTCACCTCTCTCTGCCCTTTCAGCCTGAGTGATGGAGTGTAAACATTTCAAAAATGGATATGTACCATAAATAGAAAACACATCTTTCCCAAGGAGTAGGGCCAAGCCACATTTACCACAGTTCACTTTGAAGTGATTTCCTGGTCAGCATATTTGCAGTGCCCTTCGTTCTGATGCCGTAATCTCATTTTTCATGCATAACTTGATGGTTTTTCTTACTCAGATTTTTTTTTGTATTTAATCATTCCGCCAAGTGATTTTGATGTAGACAATAGTGATGAAGCATCGGAATCTGTGACCTTCCCAGGCTGCTCCAGCCTAGTGTTTTCTTAGGCACGTGCTGCAGAATGCACAGCAGAGCAGCTGCATCTCCAGAAAGTTCCTGGCCGTCTCCTGTGGTAGAGACGGACTCTACCTGTGCTTCAGAACAACCTGTGCTTCAGAACAACCCTCCCTGTGACAGTGTTCTGGTTTGCATGTAAAGCTTTCATATTGTTTGTTCTCATCAACTGTTTAAGGTTTCCTCAGCATATGTGGGCTGTATGCCATTGTGCAGACAGGCAGAATTAATGCTGCGGCTGTGGCACAATGACAGCAGGCAAATAATGCTGTCAGTGTCATTGCATGGACTTCTTGTTGCTTTTGGAGATCTTAGATCTGCAGGTAACCCTCTTAGCTTTGCATTAAGATGGAGCTCCATTCTGGAGGAAAAGAGAGATGAGTTTATAATTGTACACAGTGATGCCATGGAGCAAAACCCTGGTAAAATTGAGAACTTTGCCTTCATTTCACTGACTTCAGAGAGAGTGCGTGCCAGGGTGCAGTTTCAGTTGGAAACATGGCTTCGCCTTTTTTGGTAGAAGTTTTTTTCCTTTTTTAGGAATGACATGAGCCTAGAGTTACCTTCAGGTGGAAGGTGGAGTGGTAGCCCAGAGCAGGCTGTCTCTGAGGTAGAAGGACACTTTTAAGGGCCAGGAAAGCCTCTGGAAAATGGACTGACATGGGTCAGACGTGCCAGTAACTTGTGTGGCATTTGCTGTGTCCCTTCAGAGCATCATGTGCTGCTCTTCCAAAGTGTGCTCTGTTGATGGAAAATGGCAAGTGGCTGTTTTTAGACCCTGCAGAATAAGCCGCACGTTTCTTCCCTCAGCACGAGGGATAGGACTTTTTTGTATGTGTCTGGCTCTAGAATCAGCTGCCTTGTTCTGGAGGGCAATAGATCAGAAATCTAATTGGTTCAGAAAGAAGGGATTGGAAATAAGTGGTGGTGAGGGAGTCAGAATAAATCATCCTGTTTGGGGCAGAGAAGCTCTCAGTTTGATCTCTTGATTTGCTGTTGGTTTATATACGTGTATATATATTTTAACATTTAAGGAATCTGTATTATCATTATGCCCCTTATGCCACCCAGTGAGCCCTGCCTTTCACATGTAGTGGCATTGAATTTATTTTAATTTATAGGAGGCTGTATAGCTAATACACTTTGAATTTTGGTGCTGTGTTTCCTTGGGAATGCTCAGGGAAGACACATGGCTTTTGTTTAGGTGAATGAGATGAGTCCTTTGATGGCAAATAGAATCCACCTTCATTGTCAGGGGCACTGTGCTGCAAGGGATGGTTTGCAGCATCCCAGTGAGCTGGCCTTGGAGAGTTTAGTGAAGAGTAAGGAAGAAAAGCATCCTATAGCACAGGGACAGGGAGAAAACACTTTGCCAAAGCAGCTCTGTTCAGTACTTCACTCTGCATGTTATGTCCTCATTTGTTTTAGTCATTTACTCGTAGCTTAGCTATTCGGCAGATTAACACAGTGGATATTTGGAGAGGAGTCCAGGTTCCATCCAAAGATGGGGAAAATAAAGTGTTGGTGGAAGAGTTGCTGTTTTTTATTTGTGGAAGCAATTTGTAAGGTCAGTATTGGGAACCAGTCATCGGTGGTCTGATGCTGTGGTCTTGCTGTGCCAAGGCTTCCCCACCATCACAAGGAGGAATTTCTCTCTTATGTCTAATCTAAACCTGCCTCTCTTCAGGTTAAAGCCTTTATTAGATCTTATTATGCTTTCTTCCTGGAGAGTGTCACGCTAATATGGAAATCAGTTTTCTCATAGTAAACCACAGTGAAATGAAATGTATAGATTTATCCTTCTTCCTGATGCAGAACACACTAGACACCTGTAGCTTCAAGGTGAATTATGGTACAGAGGAGTCCTGCTGAGAATACATTTTGATGGTGCTTTGTTTTCTTTCATTTCTAGTTCAGGTATCAGAGCTCTCCTAAGAGCTCGTCTTGGCACGTTGGAGTCAGCCTGGGCTTTGCAGCCCGGGCATTCCAGTGCCTTTTGACACATTTTTCTAATACACAGAATTTGAACCCTTGTCCCATCAGTAAGATTTGGGTTTGCTTAAGCAAATAATTCTTTTTAGTGGGTCACAGCCAGCCAGCCATGTGTACAGATTGTTTTGTTTTGTTCTCACAAAAATGGGTTTCTCTGGATTTCCACAGCTTTCTGCTGAAGCAAAACCAAGGAGCTGAGTCTTTAAATGACTGTTCTGTATATTTATTATTGGTTTTTCAAAATCTACAATTTACATATTTCACACTAGAATTTCAAGACAAATAGGGGTTTGTTGATCTAAAATTATTAATGAATTTTGAAGTAGAATCTAAGGCTTGAATAATAACAGAATATTCAAAAAAGGATAAAAGTATAATCTGATGCTGAAATATTTAGAAATTCTGAGAGGCTCCAGCCCTCAGTGAAATTCATGCATAAAAATTACTCAAGAACTTAATTCAGTGTATCACTTGCAGACCCTCTTTGAAAATACTTGTTTTCTTCTTTTAATCCACTGGGTGAGCCAAAAGTCCACTCTGCAGGGCTCCTTATCTGTGGCTGCATGAGCCATTATTTACTGTTATTTCAGAGTGAAACATTAAAAGGATTTGTATGGAGCTAAATGTTCAATTCCCAATTCAGTTATGTACTTAACCACATTCTGTTTTCTAGATAAAGGAAATTGTCTTTCCTTTTTGTTCTGCTCATTGACTTCATTGGAAGTACTTGGGTCTTTAAGTGATAGGGTCCAACTGCATCATCTCTTCTCAAATAAATTTTGTCATATTTTCATCCATGTACATCTTGGTTTAGTAAGTAGAGGTAATAACGTGTTTTTAAAAGGGAATGAATTAATTCTGTGATTTATGCTGGACATCAAAAATAAACAGAAGAACTTCTTGCGTTGCCACTTGTCACCTGTAGCTGAATATGGACCTGGGGACACTGATTCTGCTTCCCAGGGCTTTCTTCTGCAATGGGTTGTTGGTTTTCTCCTTGAAAGGCCATGCTCATAGGTTGCTGTTCCAAATCTGTTCCCAGCAAAAATGCTAACATTTGACAGAGATTTTACTAGATTTATAGGTTGCACCTGCTCTATCACATATTCCCAAGGGGTTTCTAACAATATCCTGGAAAATTCAGGAACAATGCAGAGATGTTGTATTCTCCTGCTTCCCTGCTTGGTTTTGGGGTTGATCTTTAGTTTTTTATCTAGAGGGGAATGTGTTGGAGAGTGTTTGGGTCATGAAAAAGCAGGCAGGAAACCTGGAATATGGACTATTCCAAGGTATTTTCCACTCATTTTCAGTACTAGCTATCTGAAGAAAACCATGATTATCTGTCTTTATTCATTTAGTGCTTTGAGAGTTGAGGCAAAAACATAAAAGGGATAATTTCAGAAAATGGTTATTTTTGAAATTTAAACTTAGCTATTTCTTGAATATTCGCTTCAGAGTCCAGAGGATATAAAGGTAAAATTTGCAAAGGTTGGTAAAGAAAAAGGAATACTTCCCTGTGTATGGCTGAGCTCATTCAAACTAGTGTATTAATTTTGAAGTGCAATGGTATTTAGAAGTATAGTACTCCTAAATCCTCCACTCAGTTTTGCATTAAGACTAACAACTTAAAAGTAATAGTAACTTCCTGGGTTGAGTTACCTTTAAAATGCAGAGAAAGTATGCTTAATTAAGAGGTATAATGTAATTGTTTTTCACATTAAATTGTTTTTCTTTATGCTTTTAGGGTATAAAGCCAGCAAGCTTTGAGAAAGTTACTGATCCTGAAATTAAAGAGATAATTGGGGAGTGCATCTGCAAAAACAAAGAAGAAAGGTTTGTTTCAAGGAATCGAGTTTTGTATTAAATAATGTGTATGCAGGGATTTCAGAACTGTCGGTGGATTTCTGCTCTGGTTTGTGGGTCTCCCCTGTGCAGAAGAAAATGCAGCATGGAAGTGCAAATCTAAATTATTTCCTGCTTTCCTGATATTCAGTGTCAGTATAAGCAATGCTGTTATGTCTCTCAGCTGCTCAGCATCACTGTGGAGTTGAGCTAGGGTACTCTTGCAATTTCTGGTTCAGCAGTCCAAAAAATGTCACTGGGAAGGTTCTGTAGGGGACAGGGAGGGTGATAAAAGTTGATGTGGTGGATTCATAACAAGCTGTGGTAGCAGATTTCATTGCCCTCTGGACATGGAGATGTGTTATGCCTAGTTTCCAGCTTTGGTTTTAAAAATTAATGTTTTACTGGTCTCTGCCAATTTGTCTCCTGCTGAGTATTTCCTGGCTTTCACAAATACAGTTTTTAGGGACTGCGGCTGACTGCCTAGAGAGAATCTCTTCTCTGGTACTCTTTAAGCTCAGATATTCAAGAAAAGTTGAACAAAGCTATGATCTGCATTTCTCTAAGTGCTTGTGGTATATGAATGTTGGAAATGTCACTTTTTCAATTTCACTTCCTTTTCGAAATCCCGCATCTTTTCAAAAAGAACACAAATTCATTATTGGTGAACACCAAACAATGTAAATGTTTCCACCTTTAACAGCAATTTCTTTTCACATACCTTTCTGAAATTGTTGACTTGCAGAGTTTGATTCTTCTTTATATCCTTTGCAGATATGAAATTAAAGATTTATTAAGCCATGCCTTTTTTGCTGAAGATACTGGGGTAAGAGTGGAACTTGCAGAAGAAGACCATGGTAGGAAATCCTCTATTGCCTTAAGACTCTGGGTAGAAGATCCTAAGAAACTGAAAGGAAAACCCAAAGATAATGGAGCCATTGAGTTTACTTTTGATCTGGAGAAGGAAACTCCTGATGACGTTGCACAAGAAATGGTAAAATACACTTCTGATAAAAATGTGTGTATATAGAAAGTAGTGCATAAATGTCAAGGGACAACAGGAACGAGCTGGGTAAAGTAATTTCACTTGAACCACTCCAGGTGTCCAGTTCAGGTGCTTTGCATTGATTTTGGAATGACTACCACAAGAAAGGGGTGAACGGGGAACAACTAACTGAAACATATTGTTTGGAAACAGATGCCTGAAATCAGTTTACATAGCTTAGGGAGCATGGAGGTCTGGCCTACTTCTCTATTTTACACGCTCTTCTGCCAGTTTCTATAGGCTGTTCAATGACTTTGAATTTATTTAGAATCTCTTTAGTTCAAGACAGCAGCTAGAAATACATTAGAATCAGAAGTTCAGTCACAAAATATCCTGCATTGAGTTCTCCAAAACACTTTCCTGCATCTCTTCTGTTGGTGTTCCTTAGAAGGGATGTAGGGGAGAAAGGTCTGTGGTCAGCTGCTGCACCCCCAAACTTTGATGGGAAACTGGATTCATGGAGTTAGGAGTAAGCTTTGGATTTTTTAACCAATAAGTTTCACTTGCTGAATTTCTGTATTTTTATAATGGTGGGGTTTTGTTAGAGAATCTGTGTTCCATTTTCACCACATTGTCCTTGAACTCCTATTTTGGTGGTGTCTTTGCTGCCGTTGTTTTGGTGTTCTGATGCCACAGAGGCTCAGGGTGAATAAGCACTGAACCAAGGGTCTGAACATTCCTGTGCTTGCAGAAATATTCCTATTAGGCTCTAAATCCCTAGGGATCCCATGTAATGATGCCTTCACCACTCGTGTTCTGCTCAGGAGGCACTCATTTTGGTAATGCTGCCTTGCTCTGCTGGAACTCATCACCATCTACTCCAAGTTTAGTGGGAGGAATTCAGGCTCCTTTGTCTTCTTGTTGTTAGTTTGCAGTAGGTCCAATGTTTTTCCAGCAATTTATTATTACAGAACTCATTTAGTTTAAAAATTGCTCTGGTACCCTTACTGTTATATTTTACATTTAAATATTGATGGAAGTATTTGGAGTTTCACAGTTCTCGAAGTTGCTTGGTCCATAGTTGTGATGTTTTATTTTGAAGAGGAAATAATTCTCATGACAAGTGTATTTAAAAGGATCATGCTCAAACTACAGTGACACTGTACCCATTCCCAAATAATTAAAAAATCTATATTGTACATTAATGCGTACCTAAGAGACTGCCCATTAAATGCTTTCAAACCTGAGGCTGTTGCAGGGACAGAAAAAGGGAACATTTATTCCTAAATGTCTTTTTCTAGTGCTTATGAATTGTGGAACACCAAAGCCATGTGCTTTCATCTGTCTGTTGCTTTATGTGCTGTGGAAGAGAAGAATGCAGGAGACCTTCTGAGTACAGGGAATTATTTATCATTACTGGTGGGTTTTTGGTAGTTAGGCAGTCCCACCTGCCCAAAGGATATGGGCAAAGGGAACTGGAAACATTCTAGTGGGTTTGGAAAGTGAAGTTAGCTCTTGAAGCTGTGTTTTAAGATGCCTTGCACCCATTAATTTTAGCAGTGAAAATCTAAGCTGTGGAAGTGTCTTATGTTTGGGCAAGAGCAAAGCAGGAAAGCCTCTAGATATCCCCCATGGATGGAAGCGCTTTCAAATCTGTCGAATGTGCATGTTAAGAATGTAGGGAGAGCAGACAGAGCTCTAGTACGTTGTTATTAAATGAAAATTCATGCCCTGCACTGCAGGAGATTATGCAAACAAATAACACAAAGATGAATTTCCATTTTATCTGTTGAGCAGTTGAGTTCTGAGAAGCCTCATCCCCTTTTCCATCAAATAGGAACAGTCTGCTTTTTCTTTGTAAAAGTCAATCAATACTGACTGATTTCACTATTTAAGACAAGTTAATTTGAAATGTAATTCTGCTAATATCTTGTCCTTCATGGTTTTCTGTGCTGTTAAGCAGAGCAATTTGGATAACTGTGTGCTGGAAGGGTTAAGACAAGTTCAGATTTAGGAGCAGTTTGATTCACTCCAGGTGCATTGTTCAGAGATTCTTTTTCCTGTTTTGTCTATTCTTTTAGTGTTAAAAAGAAAAAAAAAAAAAAAAAAGAGGGAAACCCATCTGCCATTAAACTTGCTCTCCTCAATGGGTGTTCAGTGGTGGATAATTAGAGCCAGTATATATTCAGGTCTTAGACATTACATCTTGGGTTTTTTAATGCATTAGGAATAGAAGTTTTACTGAGAAACTCCATCAAGCTCTTGAGTTCCGTTCTTGTGAGAAATAAATTTATATAAATTAGTGTCGTTTCAAATGGATGTTTTCTTTGTTGGGAAGAGGTTCCAGTATCATACGTGTGTATGCTCGTGTGCGTTCCAGCCATGTGCTTGGGACCTTGCTAAGTGTGTGCTCCTCTGCAGATTGACTCAGGCTTTTTCCACGAGAACGATCTCAAGATCGTGGCCAAGTCCATCCGTGACCGAGTGGCGCTGATCCTCTGGAGGAGGGAGCGCATCTGGCCCAGGATGCAGTTGGAGGAGCGCCGCGACTCGGAGTGCCTGGACAAGCTGAAGGCACCACAGGCCCAGCAGGTCCAGGTCACCTACCTGTCCCACACGGGCCACCACATCCTGTCGGAGCCTGAGGAGCCGGAGGCGGACCAGCACTCCTTCCAGCAGAACCTGCCCACCAGCGTCACCTCTGTCGCCTGTAAGTCCCGCCTTGGCTTCGTGGGCACACAGGGATGAATGTCTGAGGGGGAAACCCACAGTGACCTGAGCTCAGGTGAACCAATGTGGGTGGTTTTGCACAGTAGCTCAAAACCCGCAAACATCTGGGACGGATGCATGACAGTTTTGAAAGCAATGAAGTTTCAAGAAAACGGTATTATATAGATATCTCTATATAACTCTCTATGTATTTTGCTACTAAATAATTATCACAGAGTTTCTGTTTCAGTGTTCTGGGCTTGTATGTAAGCACATTTAAGTAAAAGATGCATTACCTTTAGCGAGACAGTTGCTCCTTCAATTCAGGTTTTTATAAAGGGCTACACTGAGGTCTGCTTTGAATACTGAAATATCCGTGTGTACCTGTGCAGGAAAAATCCCTTTACATGCTATGAGAAATAGCTGTATTTGCATAACACTCACAATATTGCCACATTCACAAAGCTTTTTATCTGAAGCTAAAATGAGCTCATTTCATTTTTTTTTATCATATACTTATTTCATGCTAATTCCTTTGAGGAACACTGCAATTATGGCTCTTTGTTTCTAGTGCTGCAGTGAAGTGACTTGTGCTTCCCATGGCTGTGCTGGACATGAGTTGGCAAAATGTTATACTAAATATAACCTCCACAATTTATTTTTTACTCCTCCTCAACTTTTAACCAGAACTTGGTATTATTTGGGAATTTGCTATCAGATTATTTGAACATTTTGTTAGCATAGGACCTCTGTAAATTAGGGTGGCACCCATTAATATAATTTGAGATTAAATGTAAAAGTGGAAAGTAATAACTTAATGTGCGCAGTGTACGTTCTATAAAAATCTGAGACTGACTCACAGCTTTTACTTTAACACTCTACCATTAGATTCTCCTTTTTTTTTTCCTTTGAGGTCCTGAATAATTATAATAAAACAGAATGTTAATGCAGCAGAAATCCCATCATGAAAGTAGGGCTATATTGGCTCTTCAGAAATGAATTGAATAAATAGAGAGGGGAGTTTAATTTTGGAAAAGAAAAACAGTTGGGGGAATAGCTTGGAGTACTGAAGAGAAATGTCATCTCTGGTGCTATTAAAAAATAATTCGTTATTTAAAAGCCAAATAAGTAAAACTTTATTTAAAATATGGAAAAAAGAGACAGTGGAAGGTGTTGGGAAAAGCAGTAACTTAAAAGCTGTAACCTAAGATGGTTTTTGAAACTGTGTTGCAGTTTTCTTTCAGTTTTGAATTTTAAATCCCTATTAGAAGCTATTTGTCCTTGGGATACATCTACCGCAGTCTGGTTGTCTCACTTCCTTTCTCTAGTGAAGAAAACAGTAACTTAGGCTCAGATGGAGCTGGGCACTTGTATTTTAATTTTAAAAGTTGTGAAAAGACTTTTTAAAGTCAGTAATACCAATATTTCCAGTTCCCAAAGGGCTCAGTGCTTGCCCAGTGCCCGTAGCTGTGTAGTTCCATAGGTTAACTGGGCTCCACGAGAAACTCCCACAGAGCTGAGTGTGCCAAACCCGCTGGAACCTGCACAGGGGTTTGTGTCTGACCTTAATTGCACTACACTCAAGCAGAGCATGACTTGCTGAACTAAAATCATACAGCATAAAGAATGTTGTAATTTTCAGGGCTGCTGATAAAAGCAGTGTTAAAGTCAGTGCATCCCTGGAAGATGGAACTCTAAAAGACCCCATGATCTGCTCTGAACGTGACAATCGGGGTTTCCTCTCCTTTCATCTCCAAAATCTATAAACATCTGCAATTCTGAATGTCAGCCTTATGCCCTTTAAAGGATATAGTAAAGTGCCTGAAATATCAGTGTGTGCAGAAATCCATGGGGATGGGTTGTGGCTTAAGAGAAGCAGTGTGTGCCTTTTGTAGAGCATAACACTGGTGTTGTATAATTTATTTATATGAAGAAAGGGCTAGAGTAGTAAAAATGCTAATGTCATAAACCACGGTGACCGTGCTCTAAGATCATCACTTGAACATGGGGAGCTGTTGAACTTTTTATTAAAAGGACTGTTCTTCCAGCTGACAGCACGTTTGACAGTGGCCAGGGTTCCACAGTTTATTCGGACTCACAGAGCAGCCAGCAAAGCGTCATCTACTCGTCCCTGCCAGACACTGTCCCTCCTGCCATCCAGAGGGTGTACAGCCCCCCCCTGAGCGAGGGCCAGCCTGTGCCCCACAGCCTCCCCCAGCTCGGCCACTACCAGCAGCCCTCGGCAGTAAGTCCAAAGCTTTTTCAAATAGTTCTGTATGCTGGGTGATATTTCATATTATCATTTATGCTCTTGTTGCCAGAGGGTATGGATTCCAGGGGTGTCTGTATGTATTCCTCACTCACTTCTGCACATAGTGACCTGCTCAGTCCCTTGTCAGTCTGTTGGCACTGAACTGCATTAGTGGCTTTGCAGCAAAGCACTGGAAGGACATGGACCTGTTGGAGTGTGTCCAGAGGAGGCCATGGGGATGCTCTGGGGGCTGGAGCCCCTCTGCTCTGGAGCCAGGCTGGCAGAGCTGGGGGTGCTCACCTGGAGAGGAAAAGGCTTCAGAGATAGCTCAGAGCCCCTTGCAGGGCTTAAAGGGGCTCCAGGAGAGCTGGAGAGGGACTGGGGACAAGGGGTGGAGGGACAGGGCACAGGGAATGGCTTCCCACTGCCAGAGGGGAGGGATGGATGGGATATTGGGAGGGAATTGTTCCCTGTGAGGGTTGTGAGACCCCGGAAGAGGTTTCCCGGAGCGGCTGTGGTTGCTCCATCCGTGGAAGTGTCTGTCCCTCACGCTGCTGTCTCTCCGCAGCCCGTCCTGCCTGCGGTGCCAGCCACGCCCGCCGTGGTGCCCCAGCACTACCAGGAGCCGGCGATGCCGTTCCCCGTGGTCCCCAGCACCGTGGCCTCGCTCCCGCTGGGGCAGCCGCCGCCACCCGTGCTGGCCGGCCAGCAGGTAAGAGCTGGGTTCTGTCATGGAGCCGTGTCCATCTCAGCCCTTCCCTGTGGCTGCTCTGCCTCACACAGGGTGCCCAGAGAAGCTGTGGCTGCCCCTGGATCCCTGGAACTGTCCAAGGCCAGGTTGGACAGGGCTTGGAGCACCCAGGGACAGTGGAAGGTGTCCCAAGTTTCTCTGCAAAACTTCCCAGGGCACCTATGTTCCTCAGAGACAGCAGTGTCCAGTGAATGTCCATGGTAAGGAGGGTAGGGCAGGACAGCAGAAGAATGGAAATTAGGGTGAGAAATTCAGCTACCTACAGAATGAATTGTTTTGACCTTGTCTCAATATGCACTGGTGGATCAGACATGTGGAATCAATGTTGTGTCTCCTAACTTCTATTTATTTTTCCAATTTGGGTGTCCGTGCATTTACACTGCTAAAGTTATAATGGGGCAAAGTTACGTAATCTACCTGGATATTTTCCCTTCCCTGTGCCTTACCCAATTCACAAGCATTTTTTAAGACACAAGCTAGGTTTGAGAGGGAGGTTTTAGGAAGCAGCTCCATTCCCTGAGCATAGTTTTCCTGCTCTAATGCGATGTCTCCTGGAGTGGGAGGTGACTGAGCCACAAGTGCCAGTGCTCTCTGTCCCCTTGGTGAACCATGGGTAGCTGTCTGAGCTGCAGATTAACCCAGCTGGGGCGCGAGAGCAGAGCTGGCTCTGGGAGCTGGCAGCTTTATGAGCTTCAGTCCAGCGCCGTGGGCATGCGGCTCTTCCACCCTGGAGCTGGGGCTTGGTCCTGCAGGAGTTCCTCCATGGAGTGAGGGGGGTCCCCCCCAGCCCAGGTGGGTCTGCCTCATCCTTCAGTGTTCCGGTGCCTCCACCTCGGCCGGTTTGCTCTGTCCCATCACCAGAGCCATCACCCTACGCTGCCATTCCCATGCGTTTGGGATTGGAACTGGGGAGATGCCGTGTCTTTCCCAAAACATGAGATGGCAGAGGTTCTGTGTGCTGCAGCGCCTGCTGAGGCCACTAGCCCTGTGGTCCCAAGTAAGTCGCCCTGAGGCAGCCTATGCCTCAGGGTCATCTTTTTGAACCAGAAGGGTTTTTTAAGTATTTCCAGAACTAATTAGAGGAGCTGAAGAAGAAGATACCAATAGCACATAAAATGTGGGGGTCTGTTACTTTTTTGCAGCTTTTTCTATGTTCTGCTCTCTGAAGCCTGGCAGGCCAGGGGAGCACTACTTTCTCTGGAAAAGTAAAGCTGCTTTTTTGGCTACCACATTGTCATTACGGTACATCAGAAATATCTGGAACTTAGCTTTTACTGCAATTATTGTGGTTGATTGTGTCTCAGGTAATAAGTGCTGTATTTTCCATACCTGCTCCATTATGTAGCAACTTCTGCTTGCCAGGATGAACTGGGTATCAACTGTATCTTGGAAGTTAGTGGGTGGGGATTTCACAGGACCAACCCGAACAGTCTCTGGGATGTAAAGAGTGAGTCATTACAAATAGCCTCTCCAAGACAGTTAGCACTTGCCATTTTATAACTTGCATTTAAATAGGTTTTAAGTGTGGGCTCCTGTGCAGTGTTTGAATTAAGAGTGCTTGTCTCTCCTGGGAGCTGTCCCTGCTGGAGCACATCCTGAGGGGCTGGAGCATGACCAGGGCAGGGAATGGAGCTGGAGAAGGGGCTCAGCCTGGAGAAGAAGGGGCTTAGGGAGGACCTTCTGGCTCTGCACAACTCCCTGACAGGAGGGGGCAGCCAGGGAAGGGTCTGGCTCTGCTCCCAGGGAGCAGGGACAGGATGAAAGAAAATTACCTCAAGCTATGCCGGGGAAGGTTTAGGTCGGATATCAGTGAAATTTTCTTTACTGAAATAGTGATTAAGCATTGGAATAGGCTACCAAGGGGAGTGGGGGAGTCACCATCCCTTGAAGTGTTCAAAAAACATCTTGATGTGACACATGGGGACATGTTTTAATGGTGGACCTTTCAGTGCTGGGTTAGTGGTTGGACTCGGTGATCTTAGAGCTGTTTTCCAACCCTAATGAGCCTGGGATTCCGTACTCCAAGCACCAGCTCTGTCCTGACAGTAAGATGGGGAGAAATGGGGAGCATGGCCAGCCGTCTGGTTCTTTTGCAGTACCCAAGCATTAACCCTTTCCTTCCTGTCCCCCCGGCAGCAGCCCATCTCGCAGGCAGCCTCCCTGCAGCAGGTGCTCAGCAGCCAGCCCGTGTGCCCGCTGCCGCCAGCCCCGCACCTGCTGCCGCCGTTCCCGGCGCAGGGCTCGCAGGTGCCCGCCAGCAGCACCCCGCTGAAGCCCCTGCAGATCCCCACCGTGCCGCAGCTCCCGCCCGTGGCCCCTTCCCAGGTAAGGAAGGGCTGTGAGCACAGCCATTTGAGGAGAAATTTCCGGCTAATAATTAACATGATTTGCAGGTTTTATGTGGCTATTTTGACTGCATGCCAGTTTAATTAGGCAATAAAAATATTACTGCTCTTTCTCAATTCCTTTCTATTTCTTTGTTATTTGTTTGGTGAATCAGAAATCTCCTTTGTGCCCAACTCTGTCCCATCCAGTTAATGGCAGCTCCAAAATGGCAGTAATTTTTTGGGGTTGTTTTGGTTTGGTCTTTTGCACTGCTCCCTCTGGCACAATCTCTTCCCCATCCCAGGCTTGAGGGCATGAGCAGTTGCCTGTTTTTACTGCTATTTTCTGACCTTCTGACTTCACCACTTCCCCCAACACCTGCCAGCCATGTCAGTGTTGTTCTGCTCTGGGTCTGTTCTCTGGAAGCAGGGACAAGCCCTGGGCCTAGGGAGGTGGATGGTGCCGTGTTTGGTAGTGACAGGCACCATAATGTGAAGCAGCTTGTGCCAAAGGGCAGGAGCAAGCTGCTGCCATGATGCCGATGTCTGCTCCATCACTGGGAAGTTTTGATTGTAAAAACCCTTTTCCTGGGCTCTTCCATGCTGCCTGAGTTGCAGCTTGTTTGAAAACAAGGGTTTAAGTTGCCCCACTTAATTTTGCATGAAAGAGTTTTGTGTTATGTCTGGCCCAATTCCTTTTAATTTCTGTTAAAATGAAAGCAGTTTTTAATTAGGATGTTGCTTGAAGGCTTCAGGGTGGTGTTAGAAGTAGTTCTGAGCTTCTAAGGTATAAAAGTGTCCCCCTCAAATGTATTTTTTTTTTGCTTTTACTAGTGATTTAAGCGTAAATCAGTTTTTATTACTGCTTGTGAAGCTGAGGGAATTAATGGAAGTGATTAACAAACAGACATAATTATCCTCCCGGCACAGGTGGTTTTTAGGGACTTGTGTGGCAAATGAAACTGCTTTAATACCATCAGTGAAAGCATTGGCAATTCATGCAATTATTATATTTTTTTCAGATTCCTCAGTTTCCTGTCATTCCTGCAATTACTCCTCTGGCAGGGCTTGACAGCCTTCCTCCAAACCTGTCCGACATAACTGCTGCGAACGTGCCCCCCATTCCTGCTCCCTCCCAGTACTTTGCTCCGGCTGTGATCCTGCCCAGCCTGCCCATGAACCCCACGCTGCCCATGGCGCCCAACTCCCCCGCCCTGCCCATGCAGGCCGTCAACCTGCCTCACACCACCGTGGCTTCTCTGGTCCTGCCCTGCCAGCCCATCGTGCCAAACATGCCGGCGGCCACCATCCCGCTGCTGGCGGTGGCACCGCCGGGGGTGCCGCCGCTGCCGCCGCACGCCGCGGTGCCGCCGCTGCCGCCGCAGCCCGTGTTCCAGCCCGCCTTCCAGCCGCTGCTGCCCGGCGATGCGCCCTCGCCCCACCACACGCAGAGCTCTCAGCCCGTGTCCCAGGCACAGCCGCCTCCTCCAGCCCTGCAGCCGAGCGTGATCCACCCTCCTGAGCCAGCTCACCAGGTAAATCCGCCGGGCGCGGGGCTGTGCGCTGCAGGTGCTCCAGGGCACTGCCCTTCCTGGGGCTCTCTTCCTCGCCAACATTAATCGTTGTTCTTGAGATGTTTTGTTGACTTGTTGCTCTCAGTTCTGGAGGTGGTGGCTGAAGCTGTTAGCTGTGGGGTAGCAGGTGATCTCCTCAGCCAGGGACAGGGGTTGTCAAGGATGTAGGGCACAATACCACTGGCTGTGAGCAGTAAATGAGCAGAGTGCTTTCTGAATTTCCTCTTCCTTCTTGGTCTCAGATCTTGGGAAGTGTGAGCTGTGATTTTCCCAGGTCAGGAGGGCATACCGAGCCTTGCCAGTGCCTGTGGCTGATCCGTGTAGGATGCAGGGGCTGCTGGGTGCACACAGCAAATACAGGGGAACTGCCGAGAGCAGTGGAGTTATTTTGGTGTAGAACATATTTAAAACAGCAAAGGGAAGTGGCCCTCTGGTAAGGACTCTGGAAAGCTCTTTGGAAGAGCAGCGCTGTCAGACCTGCAGGGCAGGGATGGATTCTAGCTGCAGACTCTTTCCCCCTTGAAAAAAATGAAGCATAAATGAGCTCAAACAGTATTTACACGGAAGCTGCCTCAGGAGTGACAGAGTCTGCAAATACTTCTCTTGCCACATCTGTGATAGGTCAACGTGAAACGGTCTGACCAGAGCAGGAGAGAGCATTCAACCTGTTAATAAAGCATTTGGAAAATCTGTATTCTGTCATATCCCTTCACCATAACACACTAATTAAAATTTGTGACATTCCATCCCAACCTGTCATGGCATCTTCACAGCAGTACGTAGTTTTTAAATTTCTCTCTTCAGCCATATCTTTCGTACAGGATTGCTGTTGTTGAGAATGTCAGCAGCATGGAGTTTGGGAGTGTTACTCAGTGCTCCCTGTGGCTTTAGAGAGAATGGAATCAAGCACATTGGACACAGTGAGCATGGCAAATACCAGAACTGGAGACTGATGTTCCCAAACCATCCTGACACAGTCATTAGCTATCAAATATGTGTAGAAGAATTGCATATGGAAGAATTTAGGATAAAAAATAGCTATTACAATGTGCAGAGAAATATTTTAAAAAACATTGTTTTGATTTGAAGATTTCTGATGGAGAGGTATTTCCGTATATAATGCTGTGCTCTTTTCACAATTGATGTTTAGCACCTCTGAATTTTGTTTTGCCTGGATACATCTGTATGGGCATTCACTTAAGAGCTGCACTTGATGATCCTTGTGGGTGCCTTGCAAGTCAGAATATTCTGTGATTCTGTGATTTGACATTGAAATATTTTGTGAATTATTCTTGATATATAAGATTTAAAATTGAACCAGCCTTCTGTGGCATTACACCACACTTGTCAATCTAACAACCCTCCCTTGGACAGCCATGTAACTCTGAGGAGTTGTGAAGCACATCCTGTCTTTACTTTTATCTACATTAAAACCTGGAATAATAGTTTCAGCTCATACCCAGAACCTGCTGAGAGCATGCGGCAGTGAAATCATATGGCCTAGTTCTCATCTGAGTCTTATTTTTTTAGTGTATTTTCCAATACCCTGAAGTCTCTTTGTGATGATACTTCAAAAAAAGTAAAAATTGGGCACACTCTTACCTAGTACTAAAAGTCTTTCTTTCTTCCATATGCTTCTTTCTTTCCTTCTTCCTCTTTGGACAAGCTCAGTCCCTCTGGAAAAATACATGATGTACCTAAAAGGAGAATGTTCTGATTTTAAATGTACAACACAAAAGGACTGTTATGCAGAATAACAATGCAGTCTCAAAGGTAGTTGGCATCCTGTTGCCTGGGTCTGGTTCCCACCAAGTGCTTACGCACTCGAGTGATTTTAATGCACTGGAGAAATCCACTGAGAAAAGTGAAACTCCCTCGGTCCACATGGACGTGTTCGTAGAGTTGGGGCCTTGGGTCTTGGCACGTCAAGGGTTAAGTTGGGACAGCGGTGTGTAAGCTGCACTGAACTGAAGGAGGACACTGGTGTGTATTCAGTGAAAGAGTAATTGTGTCATTTGTACCAGATCCTGGTTCTACATATCTGTCAGATTTCTTAAAATATCCTAAATTAGGTTATGGGTAGAATGCGTTTTTCTCTGCATGGACAGTGTGGGGTTGTTGAAAGCAGAGCAAAATATTCAGGAGAATGAATTAATCACCTAAGATCTTAAAAGCAAGTCCAGAGGAGGCCATGGAGATGCTCTGAGGGCTGGAGCCCCTCTGCTCTGGAGCCAGGCTGGGAGAGCTGGGTGTGCTCACCTGGAGAGGGGAAGGATCCAGGGAGAGCTCAGAGCCTCTTGCAGGGCCTGAAGGGGCTCCAGGAGAGCTGCAGAGGGACTGGGGACAAGGGGTGGAGGGACAGGACACAGGGAATGGCTCCCACTGCCAGAGGGCAGGGACAGATGCAATATAGGGAAGAAATTCTTGGTTGTGAGCGTGGGCAGGCCCTGGCACAGGTTGCCCAGAGGAGCTGCAGCTGCTCTGGATCCCTGAAAGTGTTCAAAGCCAGGTTGGATGGGGCTTGGAGCAGCCTGGGACAGTGGAAGGTGTCCCTGTCCATGGCAGGGGGTGGAGTGAGATGAGCTTTGAGGCTGCATCTACCACAAACCATTCTGGAATTCTGTGATTTTTTTCCTTTCTTAGCAAAATCTGGCCTTGTCCCTACTAATAAACGAGTACCTGAGCAATGCACATTGTCATAATTGTACAGAAAGACTCCTCAGCTTTTATTTGGTGATTTCATAGGAAGTTTATCTCTGTAGTTGTTACGGAGAGCACCCAAGCCCAGTCACACTGCGAAGTTTGAGTCCTTTCTTCATGAACAGCAGTGACTTTGCTCCCTTGTCAGATACGTGTTGAGCCCTTGGCGCAGAGATGTGTGCTAACAGCTCTCGTTGTGTTGCAGCCCATGCCTGGACACACTCAGTTTGCTCTGGAAGCTGGAGCCCAGGTGCCCGTGCTGCCAGTGCAACCCTCCATGGTCATGTCGCCGCCGTTGCAGCTGCAGCCGGAGCTGGTACCGCCCCGCGTCGCTCCCGAAGGAGTTCCCCAGGTCCATGGCAGCCTTGCCACGGCTGCCCCACCCGCCCCCATAGAGCCTGGCCTGCCTCTCCCGCCCTCTGCTCTGCTGCAGCTCCAGCCTGATCTTTCCCAGCCACTGGGCCAGCAGCTCCCAGCTCCCTGCTCGGCTGTCGCAGCAGGCACAGAGACTTCTCAAGAGGTAGAGCCCTTCCTCTGAAGTAACTCAGCAGCCTCAGCCTTAATCTTCTTAGTTACTCCTGTGTGAAACAGTGGGCTTGTTGCACAAGGGAGGTTATCCCCTCAGTGTGTTGAGCTGCTGCTCCTTGGTGCCAGCAGCGCTGGGTCAGCAAATAATTGGCTATTCCAAATGAAACCTCATGTTGTAGCTCAAGAAATGTCTCGCTGAATTCATGAGGCAGCAGGACTAAGCACCTCCTTCTCCATAGCTGAGCACAAGCACGGAGCTAGAAATCAAGAAATTCTCACTGTGGGTGAAGTAGAAGTTGTTCTGTAGAGTGTCACCCATGTTGTGTCCAGTCTTGTTTTAAATGTCTCAAGCACTTGTTCAACCAACCATCATTTGCCTAAAGAAACTGCTCCACAATCTGAGCCTTGTATTGTGGAAGCCCTTCATACTCTTCCGTTTGAGCCCTATTCTCATTTCATTTAGCATTGTATCCTCCTGTATTGCCTTATGTCTGCTGTAGCCCTGGGATTTTTGTTTCTTAAGATACTCATAGGCATTCCCAATTCTCTGTGGACGTAGAAGCAGGATGCTTTTTGTTTTCCTTATAGAACTGTCAGCTCCTCATCTGCTATTTTGACTTTTCTTTCCACTCCCATAATTGTTTAATCTTCAGTCTTGACAGAGCATCACAGAACATTTCCTTCTCTTCAGCTGCCTGTTAACATAACAAAACAAAAGCTTTGGTATTTCTACCTGATTTCAGGAAATAAGTCTGATTTTTCTCCACTCCTGGATGGAAATGTCCCTCTGTGATTCTGCATTCAGAGTGGTTCCTCTTGAGTCTCTGTTCTGAGTTATCTTTCCTCCCAAAGTATGTATTTCACCTTTTCAAAATTAATCTCTTGGTTTTGCCGATGTTTCCATGGCTTGTCACATGCCTTGACTTCAGTGCAGCCTGAAATTCCATTGGAGATACAACTCAATGCTGCCTCCAGAAGATGCTCCAGAAGAGCTGTTCTAACAATAAAAATGGATTCTCGTTCCCCATTTTTCCTGTCCATCAATGACAGTTTAATTCTTACTGCATCAGCATTCCTGCTGTGATGTAGGATGTCTCCTGGTGAATGTCTGTATCTTGTTGTTTAAGTGTAGCAGGAGTGGTAGAGCCTGTCTCCAGTGCTTCACCTGCAGACTCCCCAGAATAGCTGGGCTGGGTCAGGCATATCAATCACTCAGATTATTCCTTCTCCTGCTGTCTTTTTTCTGAATGCACAACTCATGGCAGGGTGCTGGTGCCTTCGTGCTGGGTCCATTCCATTAGACATTCTGGAAATATGAACAAATCTCATTGTTGTGCACTGTGATACGGGGGATACAAGTTCTCCTGAGAAACTCATGGCCACTGAGGCATGTGTCTGTCCATCACATCCCTCAGAACGTTAAACCACTGGTTTGCTAATTTCATTTTCACGTCCATCTCTCATTCACTTCAAGAAATGAAGCAAGTACCAATCCAGCTCCTCCTCTCCATGCTGGTTTTCTGACATACATTGCTAAAGTTTCCTTGAGTATAAGAGAAGTTCCATACCTGTCAGTATAATCAGAACACTACATATTGTTGCTACTCTGCCATGACATTTTTATCTCTTCTGTTGTGTTCAGGCGCGTGGCAGCGCTTACATCCAAACCAACCTGAACCAGTCAGGCAAAAGAGGTTTTGTAAGGCACTTGGTGAAGTGCTTTACCAGAATGTCGATACATTATGTCTGTGTTGTCACTGTTCATTGATGTTACAGTTTTACTGAAACTGCTTTTAAGCTTGGCATGGCTTATGTGTGGTGTTTACAGCCAAGGAGAGGGGCTGGCTGGTTAGCTGCAGAGAACCGGTGTGTTGACCAGCTCCCCTCTGAGCTTTTAACCCCAGCTCATCACTGCTTGAGCTCGGTGTAGCCATGGCAGTCGAGGGGCTTGTTTCTAGCTGTGCATCTATAGCATTTTATAGATGTGTTTTTATAAATATATATAAAATGTTACAAATATATATAAAATTATATATATTTATGGGTATATCTGGTGCGAGTGTATATACACAGCTATATACATGTATGGGTGTGTGTGTCTTTGTGCATACGTGTTAAGTTTGTTACAGCAGGGCCTGCAGCATTGTCACAAATTCTGTGAGAATGGGTCTGCCCAATGTGGAAATCATGCTGTGATGTCTATCCCAGAGCTGCAGCCAGTGAAGAGGGAAACTTTTAGGGGAAATTCGTGTAGAGTACAAAAGGACATGATGCAAGGGTGGTGTTCTTAAATGATGAATTTTCATCTTTTGTTTTTAATTTCCTCAGAAATTTTCCCACTAAGCCAAGCACAATGAAAATACTGAACGTATTTCAGGAAACTATATAAAGCAATTAATCAAATTAGCAGATACATTCAAAAATAAAAGACAGTGGGTGCTGATGTGGAATTGTCTCTCAGTCAGGTTTTGCCATGGTGGTGAGAACTGCTTTATTGCTTTCACCATCTCATCTGCTGTGGGCAGAGGAAGGGAACTGACAGGTTAGTGTCTCAGTCTGAAAAAGTGGTTGGTGCCTTGGACAGAAGTCATGTTGAAAGGGTAAAATAAGGGATTTATTTTATTTCTAGGTTTCAAGAACTGGTTAAACAGAATGGTTTTAGAGTTACTGGTGCCAACCCTTTCCTAAAGGTGTTTTTCATCTGCTAATATAATGTGTTTGCTTAAATTACTTTTTCTTGCATTTTAGGAGCAGGCAATACAGGACAAACTCCAAGCTCTGTCCCAGAGTTGCGAAAGGTATTATCACCTCTTTGGCATAAGAAATGCTTGCATTTTGGAGGCTGTTTTTTCTGACATGATCAGAAGAAGAAGGACTTGGGAGCATGTCTAGGGAGAAGCTGACAGTGTTGGGTGCCGTGTGCCCATTCTGGCACCTGCAGCTCTTTTAATTCCTTAGTTTGGATGCAGCATCCTAGCCTTGGTGTATGTACAGCTGTATGGAACTTCTGTTTTCCTCCCTCTGCACCAAACCTAATCTGTTTGCCCTTCTGCTGGGAGGGCAGAAAGACAGGAGCTGAGAAAACTTCACCTTAGAAAAGTAGGAGCTAGTGCAGTTCAGAGAAGGGACTGTGAGGGCCCCTTAAGTGAAGGGATTAGGGGATGTAGGGATATATTCAGAGTGATGGGACTTCCACTGTGTTACTACCAGAAACATTAATAGATCATTTCTTGGTAGGTGTGGTAGCCAGTGTAGAGTAGTGTCCTTCACTCACTGAGTATCTTCCAGTTGACTCAGTTTGGGCCAAAAAAAAGTGCAAATGTGTCCTTTTTCGCAGCCTCTCTTATAGCTTACATGTGATGCATGACTCCACTGTGTGTGACTCTGCCTTTATTTTGGGGCTGTTCTTCCTTTCTGTTGTGAAGCTACATGAGCCCAGATGTTGCTTCGGGTAAAGAGATGAGTGACAGCTTGGAAGGAGCAACAGGAAGTGGAAAGCAAGAAGGAAAGTCTTCAAAGAAGCATAAGAAATCCACGCGTGCTCGTTCACGCCAGGAGAAGTCCAACAGACCCAAACTGACCATATTAAATGCAAGTACAACCTGTTGGAGGGCAACTCTAGGGTTCCTTTGGCTTTGCCAGGAATAAGGGTTGTTGATCTCTGCATGCAGGTGTGTAACACAGGGGATAAGATGGTGGAGTGCCAGCTTGAAACCCATAACCACAAAATGGTGACGTTCAAGTTTGACTTGGATGGTGATGCGCCGGAGGAAATTGCTACTTACATGGTGAGATGTGGCTGCCCATGTGCTCTCAGTGCTCCCAGTTGCTTCAGGCAGCTCCTCGTGTGTGTCTGTTGCCTAAGCTCCCTGGCAGCTGTGGAACGAGGCATTAATAAAAAAATGTCTGTTTTCCCCTTTATTTTGATGTGGCCTTCTAGGTGGAGAATGAATTCATCTTGCAAAGTGAAAAAGAGACTTTTATTGAGCAAATGAAGGATATCATTGATAAAGCAGAAGATATGCTCAGTGAGGATACAGAAGGAGAGCGAAGTTCTGACCAGGGAATAAGTCCCCAACAAGATGCAGATAGGCTGGAAATAAGCGAGGTAAGAAATGCTAAATACAGATTCCTAGTTTGATTCCTTTTTCTTAACAGCCAGATACTTAAATTACTTTGAATCTTGTGTTAAAAAAAATAAAAAGGTTTCTTAACTAGAAAAATAATGCTTTTGCTGTGTTAAGCCATGCAACATGAGTGGGATGCTGGTCCTCTTGCACTGATCCAGCTATTTCTTGTGTTGTTTCTTTAACAGGAGAAGCGTCAGTCTCAAATGAAGACACCTGTGTATCAGCAAAATGGTAAGAGTGCCTTTGAATTTCTAGTGGAAGGTGTCCCTGCTCATAACAGGGAGTTGGAGCTAGATGGCCTTTAAGGTCTCTTCCAGCCCAAAGCATCCTGTGTAATTAAGACAAAGCCATGATCTGGAGACAATAAAAATTCATGTGTTTACTTGTTATTTTCTTTTCATCCCTAGTTTTGCATACTGGAAAAAGGTGGTTTATTATTTGTCCAGTGGTGGAAAACCCTACTACAGATGCCCCCGAGTTTTCTCCCCCGGTGCCTCCCAGTGCCCAGCAGACAGAAGGGCCAGGTATCTCCAAACTTTATAGAAAATGTCTTCTCCGGAGCTTCTGTGTTGTCTCTCTTCTGTCCTCACCTCACTCAGCTGTGATGCTTTCACTTGATTTTATCAGAGGAGGAAAATTATGAGTTTTGTTAAGCTGTGCATTTACATGTGCATGTGCATTTACATACGTTCCTGGTGTTGAACCAAATTGGGAATCTTTATTTGAGTTTCAGTAAAGTGTCAGTATTTTAGCTATACCTTATGCTGCAGGGTAACTGAAATTCTATAGAATTCACTATAGTGTCTTTTCAGTGATACATCTTTTGCATGATCTGAAAATTCTTGTTTGATATACATAACAGCTATTTGCTGATGGGAATTACTAGTCGGTTGTCCCTGCAGCTGACCGGGGGACTTAGCAGTGATTTCCTTTCCTTTAAAGGTTCACCTTTTACTTGTGTTCTCTCTAGACCCGGAGCAGGCGGATGACCAGCCGGTGAGCTCTGCAGTGACAGAGGCACCCGGGCTTGGGGCTGGCCAGCAGCTTTCCCTGCACACAGGGGCCAGCGACGGCCCCCTTGGAACCACCCCGTCCTTGGCACCAGCTCCTGCCAGCGTAGCGAGCCAGCCGGAGTTCCCAGCGCCAGCCCCGCCGGCATCTGCCCCGAGCATCGCGGAGCCCGCTGCGGCCAGCGGGGGTCAGCCGGAGTTCCCCCGAGCCGTGGGGCTGGAGGAGCCCCCCGAGGCCCCGGCCCCGCACCTGCAGCCGCAGGCGGACGAGCCGGCGTGTGTGCCCGACGTGGAGATCGCCTGCTGCAGCGTGGGGCCGCCCGCGGCCGCAGGGGCCGCACCTGCCCGAGGGCGGCCAGCCCGGAGCGGGGCCCTTGGGCAGCCAGCCCTTCCCCCCGGCCGCCGGCCCCGACGCCCTGGGCTTGTCGGGGTCCCAGCTCCAGAGCCCCACGCAGGTGCCGCTGGCCGCCTCCCAGCAGCCGCCGGTGGCGCAGGGTGGCGCGGGGATGGCCGGGGCAGGGGTCAGCCTGCTCCAGCAGCAGAACCCCCCCGGCACCGCAGAGTCTGACAGCGAGGGCCCCCCCAGGGTGGACTTCGTGGACAACACAATTAAAAGCCTTGATGAGAAGCTGCGCAATTTGTTGTACCAGGAGTATGTTCCAACTTCTTCGGCATCAGCAGGGACGCCGGACACCTCCGTGCCACCCGAACAGGGCGACAGTGAGCTTACCTTATCCCCGTTTCCTGAAGAGCAAGCTCCTGCCCCAGCGTTGGATGGGAGAGAACCAGGCATCCCAGACACCGGCCAGGAGGTGAAAGCTGCTGCCGCGCTGCTGGTGCCCCTTGTGCCCTCGGAGGCCTTGCCTTGCCCCCCGCTGGTCTGTCCCCCAGTGGCTCTGCCCTGCATCCCCTCAAAGCCAGCCTGTAGGGCTGGCCCCAGGGCAGAGCTCAAGACTCACTCTCCTGTGAGGTCGGGACGCATGTAGATCTTTTGCTTCTCTAAACATTTCCTATCTATTCCAGGCTGTGTTACCTTTGCCTGCTGACTGCTTTCCAGTGTGTAAAGCTCGCTTAAATTATTTTTGTCAGATGCATCCCAACTCATTTTTCAGAAATGCTTGTTAATGAAAGCCAGACTTTCCCTTTGGGTTTAGGAGTGGTACAATACTTTAGTTCATCTTCTCGTGTGTCCTGTCCAACGCAGGCAGAAATGTGTCAATTTCTTTGTAGTTTAAGAATGTAAAACACATGCGTGGTATAGTCATTCTAGTTCTAATGAAGGCGATTTTGCTTCAATTTTAAGTATAAATGAATGGCAGTGCTTGCAATTACTGCCTTTGAAGTCAGCTTGGATAAAGCAAACACTTCAAGTACCTTTGCCTTGTCCACATGCTGCAGCCAAAGGCAGACGTTCCATGGGCAGGAGTTTCTTCTGTTTCCTGTAATAGTTTCTTTTGTCTTCTCCTGAGCTTGGTAGAGCAAGACTGCCACAGAAGCCTCTAGGAAAAAGGTAGCAGCCAGTCTAGGGCAGTGGTTACTCTGTCTCAGTTGAGCCCCCATGTTAGGTTTTTTCAGGTAGAATTCCAAGTTTATGAAATCACCAGATTTGCAGCACATTGTGCTAGATCAGTGTCTATTCCAGGCCTGGCACATGGTGCTCAGAGAAGCTGTGGCTGTCCCATTCCTACAGTGTCCAAGGGCAGGTTGGATGGGGCTTGGAGCAACCTGGGATTAATGGGAAGTGTCCCTGTACGTGGCAGGGGAGGGAATGGGATGAGCTTTAAAGTCCTTTTCAATCCAAACCATTCTATGATTCTTTATCTTACTCAAAAGTAACATTTCTGGAAATAACTCCATCCCCACTAGCAAGGCTGAGCCTGTTCTGTGTAGCATCAGCTGGAGGGACTCTTATCAATTGCTCGAGAGGTGCTGTGTGGTACAGGAAAGCAGCTGTACTGGAGTGACTCTTTGGGGTGTGTTGTTTTCTAATGGTAAATTACTTTCTACAGCAAACCAAATACACTGTCTGTGAAAGGTGCTATGTCTCTCTAGTAATTGGAATTCATCCTATTAAAATCTGTGCCAGTAAGGAAAGAGACATAGAACTTCTGTAGACAGATGTACAGGTGAGGAATGCACAGTCTGGCTGGAAAAGCAAACCAGAACCAAGCCCCAATCATGTGTGTATGTATATAATATACTGGGTTTCAGTAGCTGGACTGCAGTTCCAGCTGCGATGCTGCCACTGCTTTATTTCTTCCAAGGAAGGAGGAAGAAAATAGGGGAGTTGGAGGCAAGACTTGAAGGCCACCTCCACAGGCACTGTGAAATAGTTCAGTATTCTCTGGTAGTGCCAGGGCAGCAAGGGGAAGCGAGGGAAGGAGAACACATTCTGCTTTGTGAGAGAGACTGAAATTGTGTTTCTTTTTTCCTTTTACTGAAAGTTGAACAAGCCGGAAGTCACTGGTGTGAGTGCTCATCCCTCAGAGGCAAGAGGTGGGTCAGCAGGCAGAACAGGTAATGCTCCTCCCGCCATCCCTGCTCAGAGTCAGTGGCAGGAGTGGGGCAACAGCCTTCCGTGCCCAGCGGCCCTGTGTGTCTCTGAGACACCAAGAACATCAGAATAGTTCAGGCCCAATGTACCATGCAGGTTTCATTCTACTTCTGTTTTTCTCCTTAAAATTTGTTAACTGAGTTACGAAATTCCACACACCTATTATTATTTGAATTCCCCAAACCACTAGATCTGCCAACCTGTAGATATTTTATATTGCCATTGCTATTGCCTCCTGCATTTTCAATCCTGTCTTACGAAGACTGGGGTTTTAAATTATTCGTCAGTGGTACACTTCAGTTTATCACAGTGAAACATTGCCTTTTATTATATTAAAGCATTCCAGACATAAATATTTTTTTTCCCAACTTTAAATCAGGTCCAGTCACAAGCATCGCTTCAGCTCCTGCTGCTCCAGCAAAAGGCCTCCTTCAGGTAACCAGAACTAGGAGTGGTTTTCTGCTTGACTGTTACAGTTCCTTTTGTTAAGCTCTCTCATTTTTTCCAGGTTGCACCTCCACCATCAGGCACAGCTCCACAGATGGAGACTTTCCAGAGGAGCGAGGAGGCAAAGAGTACAGCTTCGCCCGCACACACAGGGAGCGTAATGCGGCGAGCGACGGCAGATGGGGCGATGAGTAACTTCCACAGGGATGGCTCTCCGGGCTCTGGTTCCTATGGAAAACAGGCTGAGGCTCTGGAGAGTGGCACGCCGGCCAAAACCATTGGCAGGTTTTCAGTCATCAGCACGCAGGACGAATTAACTTTAGCGGCACCGCACTGCTTGAGGTTCTCGGCCCCGCCGGACGTGTACCTGGACGAGCTGCCCTCCAGCCCGGACGTGAAGGCTGCCGTCCGCAGGGTCCAGACGGCCTCTTCTGTGGACGTCCTGTGCGACCAGGCCTCGAGCGACTCCGCCGACGAGCCCTGCCCACGGCAGCCGGCGGCTGCTGCAGCTGCACAGCTCTCCCCCCCCAGCAGCAGCACAGCCACGGACTTAATCAAAAAAGCGGCTGCTTTTCTGCAGAGGTCTGCCAAAGGTGGCTCCCCTGGCCCGGAGTCGCCCAATGGGCAAGGTGCGAAGATTCCTACCATCAACATCACGTCCTTCCACTCACAGTCGTCCTACATGAGCAGTGACAATGACTCAGAGTTTGAAGATGCTGATATGAAGAAAGAATTGCAGAACCTGAGAGAAAAGTACGTTGAGTTGCAAGTGATGCGAAGGAAGCTTGTGTTACCATACCTTAGCAGCAACTCAGCTTAGGATGAGCAGAACTGTTAGGAGTAAACTGGTTCTGGGCAAATCAGGCATTGCCAGGACTTTCCCCCCCCCCTTCCTGCTGTGCATTGCCTTACCTGCCAGTTCCAGTTAGAAGAATAACTCGTAGAATCCCAGAATGTTTTGGGTTGGAAAGGACCTTAAAGATCATCTCATTCCAACTGCTGCTATAGGCAGGGACACCTTCTATTATATAAGGTTGCTCCAAGCCCCATGCAACCTGGCCTTGGAGCCAGAGACTTCCCCCTTCCAGGGATGGGGAGTCACCACAGATAGATTGTTGTAGCTTTGCATATTTAGGGATGAGCAGCTGATTGTTTTATAACCAGTAATTGTTTTGTTTCTTCTTTTACAATTAATTACACTGTCAGGATATGGTGCTTTATCAAATACATTGCTAACAGAGTCCTTTTATTCTTTTAGGCATATGAAAGAGATTGCTGAGCTGCAGACGCAGCAGAAGAACGAGATAGAGGCACTGTATATTCGCTTGGGGAAACCCCTTCCTCCCAACCTGGGCTTCCTTCACTCTGCCCCACCAAGCAGCCGGCGCCGAAGAACCAGCAAAAACAAATTGAAAGCTGGAAAACTCTTAAACCCTCTGGTCCAGCAGCTCAGGAGTGGAACATCAAGCACAAGTAGGTGTACTGGGTGCTTCCCTTCACTTGTTGCTTTTATCGGTTGTGGCTCTGCTTTGTGATGTCTGGGACTGCTGGAAAGGATGGAATTTTTGTTGATTTTAAGCTGGCATGCTTATCCCAGATCCCAGTGGCAAGCCATACCTGCCTGCTCTGCATTGCCTACGGTGCTTGCAGAGAAATAATATTCCACTTCAATTTGGAAAACAGCCTGGTTACATCTCCTCCGTTCTTCAATTTACTGATGTTTGTATTCACTTCTTAGGTGCTGTTCTGCTGTATTGATTAGGTGCTGTATCTTGTTGTTTCCTTTTTCCTCCAAGATGCCGTGTCTAAAAGATGGGATTGCATTTGCTCCCCCAAAGGATGGGAAGTAAAAGCATTTACAAAACTGTGCTGGATGCTTTGACCATCTGAAGTAGTATGAGATTTTCACACAACACTACATTCTTGAGTTTTTATCTCTTGGAAAAGTACAAAAATATAATTTACCTGGGAAATACTGATAAACCCCAGTACCTATTTCTTCAGCAAAATGTAGAATAGAATATTCATAATTTTTCTTCAGCTTAGTTTGTGCTGTTATTTGGGGGACCAGCAGCATTTCCAGAATTCACCCTTTATTTCAAACCTGGTGGCTCTTGTTTTCAATATTACTGCATCATAGGGCCCATTTGAATTTTGTTGCATCAATCTTTATAGACAGGGTGTTGAGGAGGATTTTGCTTTTAGCTAAGGTTTTCAGCTGAGTTGGGAAAAACAAATATATTCATAGGCAATAAGTTCTGTGGCCCATCTTGAGACTGTGTTCTTGCCCACAGGGACCAAAGCAGTGTTTGATACTGTCTGTACTTGTACATGTATCTAGATAGTTATGTATTGATACTTATCTGTAGATATCTTGATAAATATCTCTATCTGTACTTTTGTCTACACAAATATCTCAGGTAAAGAGGCTTAAAAACCAAAATACCTTTCCAATCATGTGTTACGTGAATTTATTAGTAGAAGCATCTGACAGTGGCAGTGACAATTATACTCAAATAGCTATAAATAAAAAGCTCCTTGTGTCTTTGCTGCAACTTTTTATTCTTCTCCATTTGCTGAATTTCACTTTGGTGTGGCAGAAGAGACCTCTGTGTCCTGCTTCATCATTCTGTGTGTTCCTCCTCCTCCTCAGCACCCCAGCAGCTCTCTCTTTATTCCAGCAGTGCTCCTTCTGAGGCTCCTGAAAACTGTAAAAATCAAACCTGCTCCAGGAGCTTCTTGGAGAAGCAGGATCAGTGATAGGAGGTGTGGATTATTTTCTGGTGCAGCCTGCCTCCAAAGTCTGCGTTCCATGCAGTGCATCAGAATGGTGAACGGCTGTTCCTCTTGGGGTCAAGATACGGATTATTTTTAGGCATGGATTTTTCATTCAGAGTTTTCCTAGCTTTTGCCATTGCATGTGTTGTGTTTGTTTGCTCTTTCAGGTAACCTTTCAGACTCTAAAGACTCACCCCACAAAGAAAGCAGTAACTCGCAGCCGGGCTTCCCCGAAGCCGCCGCGGTGCCTCCGGGTGCAGCCCCTGCCTTCGGCAAGGCTGTGCAGACGCAGCAGCCGTGCTCTGTCAAAGCCTCTCTGTCCTCTGACATCTGCTCCGGCCTGGGCCCCGACGCAGCTGACGCCAACGCAGGCTCTGGCCAAGGTGATTCTTCCTGCTGCCTCTTTCGTGTCTCTTCCAGCACGTGCTAAAATTAGTTCCCTTCCCTTAGGCTTGAACTTCTTAGGAGTGATAGAGGAATGTGAACCTTTGGCAATCCAAATTACTGGCTTATCTTTAAAAAAGAGCATTGTGGTATTGTCAGAAGAGCAAAATTTAAGTGTCTTGCCGAGTGTTGCCAACACTCGAGAAGGTATGCTCCAAGACATCCCTAATTCTTAGGAAATAAATACCTTTCAGTTTTTCCAGCAGTGGCTTTATCCTAATACCTCCTCTGGAGTCTGCCTTACAGATTCCTGAGAAAAAATGAATGGAAAACAAATAAGATACGAAAGGCTAGGAGAGGGTTTGCTTGGTTTCATTTTTTTAGTCCCTTGATTGTGGTTGACCCCAAATTCCTCATTATGAACTGCCAAACCATCTTGGGCATGAGAGAAAATAAAAATGAAATTAAAAGAAAACCAAACCCAGGGGACCAAGTTATGTTTCCTTTCTATGAGGGGTTCACTTTGTGCATAATTCTGGAGTCCCAGCCGCAGGACTGTGCTCCTGTGACCCCAGTTCTGAGACCTCTGTGTATTGCCCCTGTCGTAGGCTTTGACTGATCTTGTTGCCATGCATATGGGAAGTTCCAATGATGATTAAAATACCTTCCTCTCATTGCACATCCTGCCAAACTAATCTACAAAATATCTATCTGTCCTCTTCTGCTGTTATTGCATCCTTTGTGTATGGTCAGTGAACTTGCTCCTCTTTGGCAAAGTTAAGGGGGAGATATGGAGGTTTAACTAACAAAGCTGATTTGACTGATGGTTTAGGACATCTGATCACAGCTACTTGTACTTTATAAGTGTCTTTGTTTTCTTCCCTTTATATTCATTTACAGGCTGGACGGTTTTCCACCAAACGTCTGAGAGAGTGACCTATAAATCTAGTAGCAAACCTCGTACCAGATTCCTCAGTGGACCTGTGTCTTTGTCCATCTGTTTGTATTTGTTCTTTTGTATTTTATCACAGTCCATCTTTCTTTTACCCCCTTTTTCTAGTTCCATGATTTATATCTCTGATATGTTTGGCAGGATGCCCCCTTTTCTCAACCATCTTTTCTTTTTTTTTATCTTTCTTTTAAGTAATCATCATGAACACACCTTATTTATATTAATTTTTCATGTGAAAGCTTTTTTTGCACTGCTTTTGGCTCATGCCTGGGCACCAAAAGCATGTGTGGAAGATCTCATCATTTATTATATATAGCCTGATGGTAAATTTTACCCTGGAGTTATCAAAGCTTATGTACTTTATGTGATTTCTGTTGAAGTAATTTTATTTGCAATGTGGCAAATATACATGTCTGCTGTCCCGGTTCCAGCGACAACAAAATGAAATCCATCCTTCTGTAGACGAATGGTCTCTTTCACACATGTTTGGACTCTGAAGACATGCATGTAGCAAGCTGATACAATTCTAGAAGGTCACTGGAGGGTATAACTTCCATACAAGGGCTGTATTAACTCGATATACAGTACTGTTTATATCCACTCTATTTTCTTTAATTTTTTCCCCGCTCTTTGCATGTGGAAATGCTGAGACAACAGTGCTCCAGCTAGTTCTTTCCAAATCTCTGTCCCAGGTGGGCTTTTCCCCATGCAGTCACTTTAATTAGTTTAAGTGAGCAATTTTTTTATGGAGTCATAAGGCACAGGAAGATCCGGTTACTCTAAGGGAGAGTCCTATCAACTTTTTGTGTAAGCTGATCTGGCTGAAGCACTTGACTCAGTTTATTTTCTTATGACCTTATGTGACCTCAGAGATGAAGTCAATTAGCAGTTCATCAAAGCATAAATAAGTAAAAAGCAATATCAGATATTCAGATGATACTTGGAAATGGATTGTTAGGATCCAGGAGTTTTGTCTCAAATAACTGTGCACCTTCTATTTGTACCCTATTTGTCTGACTTCTAAAGTAATTGGCAATTCCACCAAATGATATCAAGCTATTTAATGAAAAAATTAAGACTTTTTTACCCAATTGTAGATGCTGCTTTTTAGGCAAACAGATTTTGCTTGTACAATAAAGATATGTTGTGCTGAACAGGTACTATAGGCCACTTACATATAACCTTAGAAGGGCTGATAACCTTTTTCAGAAAGTATTTGGTTAAATAACTGTGGGTTTACAGTAGTATCAGATCTCCCCTTGGAGTTCCGCACTGCTCATTACTATCCAAGTGGGTCAGGTCAAAGGCACAAGACCACTCCAAAACACTCCTTCTAATTTTATCAATAAACATTATTTTAAGAAATAATCTCGAAATTTTTTTTGTTTGAGCTCCCTGAAAGCACAAACGCTCAGGTGACTGATGTTTACAGAATTTATTATCATGTAAGCTTTTAATGACTGGTGAAGTCATTAGACAATTTTGCATTTAGGGATTTTTTTCTGAGGACATGAGGAGAATTCTCAGCTCCCAAATATTCCTCTTTGGTGTTCTAGTGGCCACAGTAATTTCTTCTTCTGTACATGTAATTCCCAGAAGATGTTTCCTTAATCTTCTATGGAATTACTATTCAGTTGGATGCAAAAAGTCTGGGAGGTGGCAATTAAAACCAGTGTATTAAAAATGTTTGGGTTCATGGACGTTGTGAATGAAACCAAGGGAATATGTAAATCCTTTGAATCGTGAAGTTTCCTCGTGCTTAAATAACTCAGCATGACTAATTGCTTTCTGTTCCCAGCCCATGTGCTCTCTCAGGTTCTGGGCGAGTGCTGGGGGAGGTTTGGCCTCCCCCATCCCTGAGTCACAGCAGGACATGGGTGCAGTTCAGGCACTTAACTTGACACTGCAATCCTTGGTCACCCCCGGGGTCCCAGTCCTGAGAGCACAGCTTGGCTGTCAGGGGAGCCTCTCACCTGGGCTGCGTCTCACCTGGGGAGCTTGGCAGATCCCCATGGCTGAGCTGTGGGCAGGTTTGGTGGGGCAGGAGGTTATTCCAGCTTGTATTCCTGTGAGCCCAGCAGGTGGGATGTGTGTGTGAGTGCAGGAGTGGGGCTGCGTGCGTTCCTGTCCTTCCCCAGGTGGCTGGGCTGGGACGGTGGAGGGCAGGACGGACAGCAGGATGTTCTGTGGAGCTGGGATCCAGAGCAGCTGTGTCTGGAGCCTCAGGAAAAATAGTGCTTGAGGAAGGCCAGGTTGGATGGAGCCTGGAGCAGCCTGGTCTAGTGGAAGCTGCCCCTGCCTGTGGCAGGGGTTTGGAACCAGATGGGCTTTTAAGGTCTTCCAACATAAACCATCCTTTGATTCTATTATTTGAAGGTGATTATGTTGGCAATACCAGCTCTCTCATGTTCCTTTCCCTCTGGAAGGGGCGTCAGTGGACCCAGCAGGCAGGCACAGCCAAGAATTTGCATTAGGTGCTAAACATGTTTGCATCCATACCCCATCCCTGGAAGTGTCCCAAGACAGGCTGGATGGAGCTTGGAGCACTTGGGATAGTGGAAGGTGTCCATGCCCATGGCAGGGATGGAACTGGATGGGTTTTAAAGTCCCTTCTAACCCAAACCCTTGCAGGTCGGATTCCATTCTCTGTGCAGTTTGTACAGGGCTGGGATGTGGCTGTCCAGTGCCAGCAGCTCGCAGATAGTTCAGAGTTCTGGGTCTATTCCATAAGTCAAGGTTTCCCTGGTTTTTTTTTTTGTTTTTTTTTTTGTTTGGGAGCTGTTGAGAAACACTGTGCTGCATTTTCAGAAATGCTCCGAATCTGTATATTTGGTTAAAGAAAACCAGCCCTTTGGCGAGGTAGGATGTGCCAGCAGGAGACCTGCTGCACTGGCAGAAAAGTTGGCAGCAACTTTGAAAACAAATGTTCAGATGGATTAAAGACAGTATCTCAAGGATCTTGCTCTGGTTACAAGATCCATTGAAACACTTTCACAGTGTTCTGCAGGACATTTTGATCTGTTGCCCATGTCCAATATTGACTTCACCTTTGTATGTTTCATGAAATAAAATATTTTTTATGGGCTTTGGCATAATTTTTCCTGAGTTCCTTTTCTGTGTTAAACTGCAAGAGTGCCCTAGGGAAGAGTTTTCACTGATCGTGAGTAGAATTTTCAAAGCTCCATTTGGCTTAGGCTTGGAATCTTGTGTAATGCAATTTTTGCCAGGTTTGTAGCAATTCGTATAGTGTATGTGCATATGCAATTATGGAAATGGTCTAGCAGTTTATTGCCATTTCCATTTTTTTGTAGCTTTCCAGCTTTTTGGCAGCTGTTAGCGCAAATATGGGACAGTGGATTTTTTCTGTTCTGTATGATGTAATAGCTGTTTAATTCCTCAGATAAGAGATCTGGAATTGTAGGTAAAATGCTCTGCTGAACTTTCACAGTCTTCCATTAAATCTTAATTGTGATTCATCTCCTTTACTGTTCTTAAACGTGTTAATTTTAGCAGTAATACAATTAATCAGGTGAATTAGATCTACAAAGTGACTTTTTAATTGAATTTGAGTTCATAACCAGCCGTGGCTGATAACTGTCAGTCCCTGCTTGAGGCAGTCTCACCGCTTAGGGAATGTTTCCCATCTCCCAAGCCCCACATTGGAGTAATGCTGCTGGAAGGAGCAGCTCTCTTCTCGGTGCCTGACTCGCCTGTGATATTTTCCTCAGAGCTGGAGCCCCTCGTGCAGGTGCTTCCTGAATGTGTTGAGTATTGCTGCTTCTGTCATTCCCCGGGTTGGGTTTGGCACCTGAGGTGCTGGGAAACCTCTTCCTGGCTGTGCAGGAAGCAGCGGGCTGGCGGTGAAGGTGTTTTTACACACATTCGAGCACGTACTCCAGTCAGCTGCCTGCTTTTATTTCTTGCAAGCAGGTGCTTTCCATTTGCATTCATATTGTGCTAAGAAGCGCCTGTTGCTGCAGGAAATAGCCTCTAGGATTGCTGCCGTGGTCACTGCCATTGTGGGGACTTGTTTCCATTGTGGAAATTGGTCGCTAACTTTGGGATAGGCAAGGTAAGGTATATCTGAGGGAAAAGAGAGCAAAAGATATAAGAATACAAGACAGATGGTTGAGTTGTGAATGTGACTGTGTTTGGTGTCTGGGCTTTGAGATGAGAACTGAATTTGTTATGCTTGTGTTGTTGTAGTCATGTCCTCCTTATTTTCTCAGGGTAGAAATCCATATGAACTATATGAAATAATAAGAAATTCTTTCAAAGCAGTCCTCTGTTCCTCATGCCACCCATATCTAAGCACAAACATCTCTTCTCCCTTTCTTCCTCTCTCCCTTTTTTCTTTACTTTCTCTTCCTCAGTCTCTGACTGAAATTGTTTCCTTCTCCTCTGAAGACTCATTCAGGGCCTGTGTCAGCGTGGACCTGCAATCTCTGAGTTTAAAGCTGCATTTCTGGCACAGTAACAAAATGTTACACCACTGTTTACTCTAGAGAAAAAGCACATCATCCTCTATCTTACTTTTTTGCCCCAGTCTGATTTTGCTCATGGTTTCAAGTGCTTCTTCCCAATGAACCCACCATAGCCCATATGTCAGACACTCATCTCCCCCCATCCCATAACAATATTCTTCTTATCAAGTCCAAAATACCTTTCAGGAAATTTTGGCACCCAAATAGCAACGGTGCCAATGTCTGGCAAGATCTGACAGTCGAGTCGGGGTCTCAGCACACTTCTGGCACTCTATCTATCAACAGACTGTAAAATCATGATGAATGATGGAACGAGACAATAATGAAAAAAACAAGTAGTTTAGTTAAATTAAAACTCGGCTACCCTGACAGATTATTTTTTCTGCACTCGGACAAGGCATAAGGGAAACTCATTCACAGTTCATTCAATTGAAGTTCAGAGTCTCACATTTAGACACAAATCCTACAAATAAACTATTTGGAAACAATTGGCCTCAGACCTGCAGAACAATGTATCTTTTTGGACTTGTAAAACAAGATTTTTAGGGTTGTTTTATGGTTTGTCTTTGCAGCCAGACTAGCTTGACTTGTTCCTGAAAGCATTTTTGGCCTCCAATCACAAACTAAATTGACCTTATTTCCTGTATTAATAGGAAACAAATCAAAACCCTCTATTAGGAAGCCAAGGCAATTTGGAGAAAAAAAAAAAAGGAAAATAAAATAAATTTTTAAAAAATTTAAAAATCAACCAACCAAAACAAACCGAACAAATGCATCTTTAAGTCACGAGCCCTTGCTTTTGGCATGCTGTGGTACTTCCCAAAGCTTTTGAATGGCTGCACATTAAGAAAGGTTTGAGCTGTCCAGTTATTTAGGCTTCCTTTACTCACCTGAACTGCTGACTTTGTCTGTCCTTTCTTGCATAATAACTACTTTTTGATTGCTTAAAAGTACAGAAGCTTGTCCGTCTGATCTGTTGTGTTTAGTCTTACCTAATTCTGTGTGTCTTGTATTGTTTTACCTTGTAGGGTCCACCTTGAAACGACTATGTCTAGGCAAAGATCACAGTAGTAGTAACTATCCCATTTTTGTTTCTCAGTATTTCCTTCATGGCATGGGATGTTCTTTGCTTTTTTATTATTATTTTTTTACTAAAAGCTAGTTATTTAATTACTAAAGCTGATGCACTTACCGGAAGCTAGACTGTATAAATTGTGGTACTTTGAGAGTAATGCATGTGCTGTGATGTCTTGGGAACCTTGCATGCTGCAAGAGTCGTGGTGTTCTGTGTGTGAGACCGTGCACGCATGCAGCCAGGAAACTGGGTCCAGTGTCTGTCTCTGAAATACACACCTCTATATGACTGCAGTTCTCTGCTGGAAGAATTGATAGCTTAAAACCATTCCAGCCCCCTTGAGCTGCATGAAATATTAAACACCAATTGAAGAGCTTTCTTCTAAAAATCCTTACTTTTCTCACTTTTACCCCAAGTAAAGGAAAATGAATTGAGCAGTATTCACTTAGAAGTGATGTTGCAGGAATGCATGATCATTTAAAGGTTATTAATGTATTTTATGTAACTGTAGGACTAATTAGTGTACTCGGTTTCATTGATAAACAGAGAAAATACTCCATGTTTATGTTTGCTTATATAATCATTTTACTACAGTTCTATGAACTTTTTGCTTGGAGAGATGGTCTTTATTTCCAATCTTTAGCTGTCTCAAGTATGTTAGCTGAGAAGTTACTTTACATTTTCTGCTTGGGTCAAATTCAGACTCCTTCAGTTGCAGTCTCCTGCTGAGCTTGCTGTATCAGACTTGTAGTCACTAAGCAGAAAAAGGATAGAATTTATTTTTTTTTACTAGTTCTTCTGGAAAGAAGTGAACACACAGAATTAAATATCTATCAATACTCTTCCTGACTGCTTTTATCTATACCAAAAGTTCTCTATCTTTGTCTCAAACAATCACCCTGCCCACTACAGCGTCTCTCCTCTCTCTTTTATACTTTCATGGTCCTGGTGGGGTTTTGTCCCCCAAAATACACAAATAGCCATGTGAATCGTCCTGGCATCATCAAGAGAGGTGGTGGGCTCCCAGAGGAGCAGGAACCAGCCCTGCCTGTAACCTCTGTGACAATAACATTTTTCCAGGAGGACAGTAAACTTAGGCAAGTGAAATAAATGGTAAATTCATTTTATAAATGTTTGCAGTGTTAGCAGTATATCCCACGTCCCTCTTCCTCATGGTAGTGTCTGAGGAGATGTTGTATGGGATGTCAGCTTTATGGGGCTGCATTCCTGGCTTCACTTCCTGTCCCTAATTTGGCCCAAATTAGTACAAATTAGTAGCCAAGGTAACGTGATGTGATAGAAAATGCAAAGCCATTGGACTTGGACCATTTCTTTAAGCAAAGGTGTTCTGCAGCCAGGAGGGGAAGGGTTGGAAATCTGAAAAGCCACCACTGGAGTGGCAATAGGTGAGAAGGGGTTTGAGCTGCAGGGGTGAGGCAGAGACACCATCTCAGCTCTCTGTGTGATTTTCCAGGATCCTCGACCAACAGCCTGGTGACATGTCCTGAGCCCCTCCCACAGTCAACGCTGCAGGTTCAGGCCAACAACAGTAACAACAAGAAAGGGATGTTCACAGATGACCTGCACAAGCTGGTGGACCAGTGGACAAGCAAAACTGTTGGAGCTGCACAGACAAAACCTTCTTTAAACCAACTGAAGCAGAACCAAAAAAGGCAAGACATGGAGCCAAAGGCTAACCCCATGCAAACGCAGAATGAGACATGTGGAGTAAGTGGCCCTCCTTGAAGGACATACCTTTTGCTATGTGTCTGACAGCCTTTGCAGACCTCAGATGCGGAGGAGGACATAGACTAAAATTACTCCAGATAAATGCTTTCTATAAATGTCCAGCTCTTTTCATTCAGTACTAAATCAAAATTTTTTTTAATTGTCCTTTGGAATAATCTTAAGGGATATATGGGCAGCAATATATATATATATATATATGTATATATAATATATATTTTAAAATTCCAAACTGCTTATTAACAGCAATGCAGAGCAATACTCTTATCATTATCGTCTCTTGCTCAACTTCAGTTTCATCTATCACTAAAGTTTTCTTTTTGATGTTTAATATTGACCTTCCTCAGAACAGGGGCTGGTGACTCTGTGGTTGGGAGCCATTGTTTGAGTGGAATTGGAGTGAGTCCTGTGCTGGGAGAGGGGACAGCTAGGAGTGTGCTGGCCCTTGCTTGTTGGACAACACCATCCTCAGAAATGCTGTCAAAGTATCCTACAAAAAATAAGGAACTGAAAAGCTCCCACTGTCCCTTTTGTTCTCAGCAGCAGGACAAAGCCATTGCAGGTGTATCGTGTCTGTGTTCAGTGCTGCTGAGGGCTGATGCAGAGGCAGCACAGCAAGAAGTGAGCACACACCCAGAATCCCAGTTCACCATTCTGGCCCACCCTGGTCTGGGTTTCCAAACCTCTTCCTTCGCACAGTTGGAGATTCTTTGACTAGTAATTTTTGCTGGGTTCATTTTCTTGGAAGGCTGCAAATTGAGCCAAAATAGAGGGAAATAACAGTGTGGAGCCGTTTTGTAATCCGCTAAAAGCAAGAGAACTAGACCTGGATAGCAAACCACTGCCTTTTTGAGATGTAGAAGGAAAAAATCCTGTAGCAGTAGTAACTCTGTAGCTGTTGGTGAGGTGAAATGTACCAAAGCAGGAACTTCACCATTGCATCTGTTTTGGTACCTGCTGCTTCCTGAGTCAGTAAATTATCCTTTTACTCAGTAGTGCTTTAACCAGCTCAGGAGTAAGCAATGTCTACTTAAGACCCTAACAGTTTTCATAAAATAAGTCAAAAATTGGTGCTAGTAAACCCAAACTGAAGATTTCCATAAAGAGGCGGGGAGGGTGCAGATTTTAAGTCACTTCTTACTTTCTTTTGATAAACTTTTTACAGCATTTTGGTGTCTTTCCTCTGAGACCGCTGCAGAAGTTTGAAGTATTAAATGTGGATGTTTTGCCCACCCGTATCTCTGGAGAAATAAGTGGTTATTTTACTTATTTAAATCACCTGTCAGTATCAATTTAGGGCTGATTTTACCTCCTGGAGTTTTGGTGTCTCTGTCTCAAAGCCTGTGGAGAAGGCAGTGTGTCGCTGTGAGAGGAGCAGGAATGTCCCTGTCTCAGTAGACTGGATCTTGGAGGGTTTGTGTCTTTCTGAACCATGGCAGTTGTTCCAGGGAGCCAGCAGAGCTGACTGAAGTTTTTTGGAGGTGATTTACCAGGAGCGTGGAGAGGTTGGGATTCTCTGCTCTTCATTTTGCATAATTCCTTGTTGTGTGGAGGAGTGGCATCAGCTGGAGCCCTGGGGTGGGTGAGACCTGGGGTGGTTTGGGGCATGAAGTCCTTGTAAGGACGGTGCTGGCTGCAGCAGAGATGCAAGGGCAGAAGGCAAACACTGCTGGTGTACTTTCTGTTGAGTGTTTTAGCCATTAAGATGGCACAGGATGCTGCAGGTGGCAGGTATGATGTAGAAGAGCTTGACAAGAGTTGGTTTGGGAGTTCAGCACTGGTTTGCTGTTTGCACCCTCTGAAATTGGCCCTAACGGGGAAATTGAAGTTGAGGGAGAAGAGAACTGCGTGGTGTTGGGAGAGAAATGGCCAAAGGAGGGGAAGGGAACAGCTTGAGAGGACTCCTAGTGTGGACAGCTGGACAAGTGACCTGTGTGTTGGAGGGATGAGCTCCATGGGGAGTTGTCCATATGCTGAATCACAGCTGAGTCAACTGGAAAGACCAAAAGAACTTGGGAAATCACATAAAGGATGGAAAAAATGACTTTCCAGGAGAGAGAGAATCTGAAGCTCAGGCTGTGCTTCTTCAGTTCGTCTAGTAACACAGTCTTTTGTCGCCTCTTTGATCAAAAATGCCTTTGCAAGAAAAGAATAAGGAGCACTATGCAGATTTCCAGCCCATCAGAGAAGGTTATAAGGTTTTGTGTTGAAAATAAAGGCTGGATAAGTAGGAAAACAAGGTGATTCTTATGCCTTTTGTGTTTTTTTGGTTTTGTTTTTGTTTTTTTTTTTTAACTGGAACAAACTAGTACAGAGCTGTTAGGGTGGGCTGTCTCACATGGGCTTAGTTTTGGGAAAAGCTTTGTTGTTTTGGGAAAAGTGGTCCCTTGTGATGGTCAGAAATGAGGGGCTGGGGGTGGCAGGATTTGTACCTTCACTTCTGCTTTGTCTCTGGGGATTATTGTAAAGAGAAATGCCTCCCTAAAGGCTTTCATACAGAAGTGGGAGTGAAGGGAGTTGTCCCACGACGAAAAATACATTAAACAATTAAAAAAAAATACAAAATGTTAACTAAACATTTAAATAGAAAAATACATTTTTTACCTCAAAATTTTGTCTTACTGTTCACCCACTGTTATGAATATGCAGGGCAGTTGTGTGCTTACTCAAAATCTTCTCTTTCCCCCTGGAACAGAGGACTCACTTCCCTAAGTTACCTCTTTTTTACTCAAGACTCCTTCTACCACTAGCAGCAAATTGTTTGCTGTGAATAAAATATATTATTTTTTAACTAAGTGAAAGCTACTCTTTAAGGCTGGAAATAGAAGAGAAACTGGTGCTGTGTTTTAATAAGAGTGAGTGGTTTTCTTTTCATCCTCTGCCATCAGAAGTGTAGACAGCAATAATGTAATCTGCATGTAAAGGAAAACTTCGTATTGTTTCTTTGTGCTTTGTTTCTACGGAAGTTACCAGTCCATTTGCCTGCAAATCCTGGTTAATCATATTAGAAATCTGGGGGAGACCTTTCAAAAGGGGAGGAGCCTTCATCCAAGGTGTCACAGGAGCATTGAAATGCACCTTTTCAAATGGTTTTATGAAGCATGGAAATGCAGGTGGATTCTCATCAGCAGCAGTTTGAAATGCAGTAGGAAATATTAGAACTGAGGTCAAACTGCCTGGTGATTTCTCTGTGTGATCTTTGTGAAGATATGATGAAATAGTCATTTTTACAGGTAATTCTGGTTAGCATAAGTCAAGGAATAAGCTTAGGAATATGAGCTGCCTTCTGTGCAAAGAATACTGAATATTGTGTACTTAAAGGCACTATTTGGAGGTGCCTGAGAATGAAGGGCTTGCCAAAAATGTTTTCTATTCTCCATGCTGTGTGTAGCTCCACAGGTTTTACAAAAAAAACCTTATCCCCAAAAAGCTGAAACGTTCCCAGTGCATAGTGAGGTTGTTTCTGAAAACACAGAGGTCTGTGTCACTGGGTGACGGGAGCTGGGGGCTTGGACACCTTGAGCAGCATCTGAAGCTCTGCTGGCATTTCCTGACTCATGGGCTTGGGTGTGCTGCCGGGAGCAGCCGGGCTGGACGTGGTCACGATGGCAAAACCAAGCCATAGCCCCTTCACTGTGTCTTCCCTCTCTGTTGGATTGGGAAAATAATAAAAAATGAATCTGTATTTGAAACTATTCAACACTGCCTTGGTCTGAATAGTTTTCCAGGGAACTGGAAAAGCACACACAGATCTCTTCAGGAGTGCCTAAAAGATTTGGAGTTTCAACAAACTGGGCAGAAGTGATAAAAGCGATATCCATCTCTTTTATCATCCTTACCAGCTTGTGTTGGCAGCCAGCTCTGATTCTGCCCTGTGACTCAGTTTCCTTTCAGCGGTAGCTGGTCCATACAGAAGGAAAACACTGATGCTAATGGGGTAGCCAGCAAAAGAAAAATCGTCTAAAATCCTGCCTTTTCAAGTGGGTTGTGATAGTTATAGTCAGCTTTCACAACAGAATTACCTGGTTTCCTCTGTTCTGATAGAAACCCAGAAGTACTTATGATGTTGGTAAGTCACACCCAGTGCTTGCCTGTGTAGTTTGACAGTACTGGAGCTGTGAGTGTCACAGGGGTGGCGCTTTGAAGTTTGCCTGGTAGACCACAGGAAAAATTATAACAAGTCCAAACAACAGATTTGGGGTATTTGAACTACCCTAGTCTTTGTCTTGTGAAGTTTTTTCATTTTTACCAGTATTTTCTGGTATGTTGTTCTCTGTGTATGTTTAATTCTTGTATTCTAAATGAGTTTGTGTGATTATTTGGGGGAAGGGGAATAAACAGCCACAAAGCAAAAACTGTCAGGAGAAGGCAGGTGTGGGGGAAGCAGGAGCTGGTGGCTGGCACCTGCAGGGACACGTACAGGTGCTCGAGCAGAGGTTTGTCAGTGCAGGGAGAGTTGGGTGCGTGCAGGTGAGGAGGTGGCACGAGCAGAGCTGTGGCAGGTGAAGGTGCCACTGTCTGTCTTGGCTCGGTGAGTTCAGAGCTTCAGCAGAGGAGCCTAGTGGAGATGTGGAGGGGAAGAGCTTCCCTTCCTACCCATACGATACATGGCACCCTGCTCTCAGGGCTGCCTGCAGGTCTGGGGTCCTCAGCACAGGGAGGCGTGGGGATGCTATGAGGGCTAAAGCAGGAGTGACAGGAGCCCACGCGGGCTCACAGCTGCGCTGGTGACTGCCACCCCCGGCAGCTCGGGCTCCTCCTCAGGTGAACCCCTGACCATGGACACAGCACTGTGCAGCACAGGGGCTTCCCTGGCGGCCATCCCACATCAGCCTGGCTGGCTGGCTTGAGATGCTGAGCCAGTCCTGTTGAGGGCTGTGCTGTGATCCCAGCAGAGCGGTGCAGGCGCCTCGTTCGTCGCTCCTGAATGTCCATCTGCTGCCCTTTGAATGGGACCAGCAAAGGGACTTGCAGTCTCATGGCTTTCCCGGAGCTGGGAAATCCACAGCTTTGGGGCTGCTTTTCTGGCACATGTTAATTCTGATGTTTCAGTCAGCACCTCCAGGCAGGAATTGATGGGATGTGTGGGCCTCCATCAGTGTTGAGTCATCAGAACTGGTTAAAAAGATAATGGTTAAAATACATCATAGCCAAGAGGCTCCTACCAAGGGGAGGATGCAAGAGTGCGGTGCCATGGCTCCTAAAGTGTGTATTTAGCTCACTTGAAGCATAGGAGGAAGGTAAAGGAAGCAAACTTAAACCATTAATGTGTGTTTGTCATGACGTTATCAGGTTTGATGTGTATGTGTAATGTTGGGTTTGGGGCATGACAATTTTTTTCTGGTCACACATAGGTAGCATTAAATGCAGGCACTGCTTTACTGAGGAATTCAGCTGAGAAGGAAAAAAGTTCAGAACTGGAATGCGACAGATTTCTCAGTATTTTAAAAGAGCTGAAAATAAGCTTTTTCAAATTAATTTTTAAAAGGGGCAAAAATGTCACCTTACATTTTTAGTGCCACTGAATAATCTCTTGCTAGTATAGTCCAACTCCTGGCCCTGCACAGGGCACCCCAACAGCCCCACACATGCCTGAGAGCATTGTCCAAAATGCAGCATTTTCACAAACATCTGTTGGCATTCCTCACAGGTGCTTAGTTTGGTGGAAACCACCATTTTGAGGATGTTAAAACAAGAATCTAATAACAGCATGCAGATGTCTGCAGGTCTTAAAAATATATCCTTGATTCCTCTGTTTCCTGTTCTTTGGTTTCTGTTCATTTTGGTGGGGTTTTATACATTATTGGTGTTAAATTTGTGATCCTGAAGCATCTCCTTCAGTTCAATGTTCACCATCAGATTCAGGTTTCGGGTGAGAATGAGAGACAGGGAAGTGAAGGAGAGTATCAGAGAGTCCTGTATTTTTCTAAAATTGCCCTAGGAACAGAGGTTAATGCCTCAAGGTAGGACATCCTGGGAGACATTGCCATTTTTATTGTTCATTGAGAAGAGAGATTAAAATCACAAACATGGTGATTTGAATCCAACCCAACCTTAAACATACATTCATTTTTTCTGCTGAAATTTCACCTTCCTACCAGTTTTATCAATTGAATGTGAAATGTCACATTGATGGGAGACTCCCAGAATTACATAACAACCTTTTTTCCTTATGCCATATATAGGTTGTGGCCTGGTGGGAACCCTGGCAGGGAGCTGTAAATGCTGTGACATGAAAAATGTAATGAAATGCTGCAAACATTTGGGATAGCAGCAGTTCCCATGGCATCATGCAGGATGGAGTGTGTAATTTGGGAAGCTCTGCCATTCCATATTGAGGGAGGAGAGCTCTTTCTCTGCCCCTCACATGCAAAAGCTGAGTAATTGAAGTGTATGTTAATAGAATTTTAGAAAACCGTCTGGAATTGGTCTTGGCAGCCCATGAGGCAGAGCAGCCCTGCTGTGTCCTCGCTGGCTTTGCCTCACCTGGCACAAAAGCAGCATGAGCACCGGGCACCGAGCCACTGTGAGCGGTCTCCTGCCACCCCCACCACCCTCAGCTGCCTGTGGCTGGGGAAACAATTTCCTACAGAAATAAGGGCTGGAGTTTTTAAAGCTCTTTGGAGGCTGGCTGTAAGAGCATGGGATTTGGGTTAATTCTGTGTTTAGTGAAGTTGATTTACTTTCATGCACAAGTTAACATTTGAGTTCCTTTGGACATGGGAGGGTGTTAATTTTCACTTGTTTAATGATGCTTCCTGTCTTTCTAAAGAATGAGGTTATATGAGGTAACTTTCCCCTCTGCCTCATATCAGCCTTTTTTTTTAATCCCAAAAATTTTTCAAAAAAAAAAAAAAAAAAAAAACCCTCAACCCAACCTCTCAGTAAAAGGAAAAAAAAAAAAATAAGACCCAAAAGAAAGCCCCAAGGACACTGTGGCACCCTGTGCCTGTGCCCACAGCCGCCCAGGGCCCAGCGTTGGGCCGGGACGCTGCTGGCATGGGGAGAGCGGTGCCCTGTAGCAACACTTGTTGTGTTTCTCTTTTTGTAGGTAAGTTCGGTAAGGACAGGACTGGGGAGCAAGTGCCCCGTTCCAGTGGCTTGCCCCATGCCCTCAGGATTAGCTCCTGGAGCCGCGCCGTCCCTGCCAGTGCCCGTGCCGGGGCCCGCCCTGGCTGGCGCGGTGACACCGTACGTGATGCCTCTCTGTCAGTACGGAGCCGTGTTCCCTTCGCCTGTGTACGGAGTGCCGTGGCCGGGGCCGGTGGCGCAGCCGGGGCTGGTCCGAGGGCCCGGCATCGTGCGCTTCTCGCCGCTGGGCCGGAGCTGCCTGCGGATGTACCCGGTGCCGCTGCAGCGCCCGGCCCGGCCGGCCGGCCCGCGGCTGCGCATGACCTAGCGCGGGGCCCTGCCGCGGGGACCCGGGCCTGAGGGACCCTGTCAGGGGGTGGCCTTGCCGCGGGGACCCGGGCCTGAGGGACCCTGCCGGTGGGTGGCCTTGCCGCGGGGACCCGGGCCTGAGGGACCCTGCCGGTGGGTGGCCTTGCCGCGGGGACCCTGGCCTGGGTTTTGATGCCGTCGTGTTGGAGTGTTTGCTCTGTACATGCCGTGCTCTGTGTGGGATGAGGCGGGGCCCCGGGCACGGCCGTACCCTGCATCGGCAATCACTGTGAGGCGGCATCACCACAGATCGTTTGTTGTCAAGGCAATACCTGCTTCTGTCCCGTTGCTGAAGACACTTTATTCCTTGTGTTCTGTTTCACACTTGTGATCCTTAACATCATTGTACTTGAATTGATGATTAGCAAATTGTACTAACCCTGCAGGAGTTCAGTGCCTTGAATCTCAGCTTTCCAGTCCCAGCTGGAAAGAGATGTACAATTATTTGAAAGGTGTATTTTATTTACAATCTGCTTGAGAGTTGGAGGTCTTTTTATTTGCAAAGAGATTGCAGGTTTACAGTTGATGTTCCTCATCAGCTTCCTTCTGCTGTAAATGCTTTGTTTTTGTTCACGGGTTGAATTTTCATTTCTGAAGCTTTTAGAAATAAGAATTGTGAGGTGAGGTTTCTTTGACATGCTTGTTTGATGCACTGATCGTAAAATTGTTGGTGTTTGTACAAGGAGTAGTGAAGTGCACGCTGTAATGTAAGAGCATCTACAGAGTGATCCAAGGAAGGTGTGTGCAAGGACAGGGAAGCAGCTTCAGGCAGCACTCTCCGTTCTCCTTCCCAGCCTGTGGCAAAGACATTGTAGATGACGACTTAATTCTGTAACAGGCAGCAAATGCTGTTTTCCTCTGGATCAGCAGCACACTGGATTTCATTTCCTTTCCTTGTGTCGTGGGCTTTTATAATTTAGTTAAATCACAAGCTTGTGCATGTTCCATAAGTGAAGACAAGTAAGTGGAACTGTTGATTCTGGCAGACCGTGTCTGCAGGTGGCCGTGAGCCCCGTGTGAGCAGAGCACGCACACATGTCCAGGTTCTGCTCCAGCCCCTGAGCTTGACAGTGATGTCTGGTCCCTGGTGTGCCGGCTGTGTTCATGCTAAAACAGAATAAAAATGTCAAGCTGTTCTTTTTCATATCTGACACTCCAGGTTTAGTGTCTCACCGCCTTCTGTTTGTAATGATTTATTTATTTATTTATTTATCTTTATTTTTACCCAAGTTTGCACTCCAGGTGGCACGGACACCTCTCTCCTGTTCAAAAGTTGCTTTTTTCCTATTTTACTGTGCATAGAGCCTCCACCTACACTTAGTGTAAAGGCACAAGGTAACCACTAAAGCTGGTTTGCCATGGTAAGTCTCCTTCCTTCCCTGAGTGCTACAGGCAGCGTTACAGGCACAGGACCCAGGTGTGGCCGCACCCAAAGGCCCCACAATGACATTTTGTAGCCCTCTGCTGAGGGGCAGAGACATCCTGTGCTGCCAAGCTGTGAATTGTATAGTTCTATTGTACTTCAAGCATTATACCGGTCTAAATTACTTTGTTTGTACCCTTTGAATATATTATTCCATCAATTCAGTTAGAATTGAATTTATAGACAATTATGCAGAGTCTTCTGCCTGGGCAAAATACTTACTGCAGTAAGAGATTTCTGTTCTCTGTACCATGTATCTTTAATTTGTTTGGGTTTTTTAGATTCATGTCTGTATGCTTCATGAGCAAACATGGAAAATATGTTCTCACACCGGGTTCCCTTTGGCTCACACTGATTCCTACAGTTTATGTTGCTATTGCCTGTATAGTCCATCCCTTGTATACTGACAAAGTCAGTGGCACTAAAAGCCCCAACAAATTGTATAGATTAAAAAGAAAAATAAACATTTTGTGCTTGAAAACGGTGTGAAAAACCTAGTGTTTTCCTAAACCATAGAGCAGTGTCAATTTCTAGCTGTTCCAGGTAATTCTGTGTTTGTTTTCCAGACTCGTTCTTGTCCATGGATTGGTAGCAGGAGCAGATATGGTGCCTCCAGCAGTTGTTGGGTGCTCCCCACAGCGGTGCCCGGGGTGCGTGCTCGCACCTCGGGGGCACTGAGCCCCGAGCCCCAGCTGGGGCTGGGCTCTGCAGAGCAGAGGGGGCTGCAGCCTCAGCAGCCTCTGAGCACGGGGCTCCCTCAGGGGTGCCCGTGCTGCTCGTGAGGGTGCTCAGTTTGGTAGGTGGGAAAGAGGCCCATGAACTCTCTCTTGAGCTGCAAAGTACTAGGGAAGCCCTTCTGAAGGATCCTGGCATCATTTAAGTGTGAGGAAGCTTGGTCCCATTGCCAGCACCCTTTTTACAGTCACCGTCATTGGGTGAGGCTGCAGGAGAAATGAGAGAAGGGCGTGCAGGTGTGACACTCCTGCTTCTGTCTCCGTGTGGCTTTGCTGTCTGTGCTGTGTTGGTTGGGAAGTCTCTGGCCCACGCTGGTGCCCGCGGTGGCTGCGTTGCATGGCTGTGCTCCCGGGAGAGCGGGGTGGCTGGGCAGCAGGGCATGGGTGCAGCTCCCAGGGCCTTGGGGGGTGTGCACCTGCCTGTCGCACTGGGGCAAGCAGGAGCTCGGATTGCGATGCTGGCATTGTCGTACTTGTGATTTGTAATTTCCTGATGGCTCTCTTGGCCGCAGCTCTTCTGGCTGTTCAATTCAAGCCATGGTTTTTTTGCCCTTGGTTGTGAGGATTGTGTCTCAGGGTGCTTTGACCTCAGTGGCAATTAAGCAAATGACACGTGATTAAATAAATGGAGCAACTTCTTGAGCAAAAGGTGAGCCAAGAGTAAGACAGAACTGAGGTGTCCATGCTGCACCATCACAGTGGGAAAACTGCATCTTAAAAGATCCCCTACAGATCCCAGAACTGAACTTGTTTTATTCCTGACTGGATATTGCTTCAACATGCAGCAAGCAGAAGTCCTGGCCTTGCTGGTTCCAGTCCTGCATGTCCTGTAGCTCTGCCATCACCCAACATTCCCAGCCAGCACTGTGCTGCAGGGATATGTGGGAAGTCAGCACAGAGGCCAGCTTCAAATACCAGGTTTCAATGAGGGAGCTCACAGATCCCCTGATTTTCAGTCTTTCAGTTAAAGAAATATAATACAAATCTTGAAAAAATGTTTAACCCCCATAGTCATTCACCCAGTAGTGGGAAAGCTTTGCAGTTTTCAGTTTTGGCAGTTGGGAAAGTAGTTGAAGTTTGGCTGTGTGCCTTTCTTTGGCTTTCTGATTGCCGTATGACATGATGGACTGTCTTAATGCACGACCACATCCTGCTTTCCCACTGCATTCCCAGCTTGCTTGGAGTAAGACTGGACATGGAGAGGAGCTGCTGCCATTGCCAATACTCATCTGCCACAGGGATGCAAAGCTGGGCACTGGAGATGGCAGGGAGAAACACTGCAATGGTTTAAGGCTCTTTTGCAAATCTGGATTCAACTTCCCTGGAACAGATTTCACTCAAAAGAATGATGCAGCACTGGCCCTTGCAGATTGTTTGCATGTTTAACTCTGGGCTCTACAACTTTAAAGAGGGAATATTTTAAAAATTCCTTTAAAAAAGAAAAAAAAAATCTTTAAGAAGTTCATTTAAAGAGAAAACGTTGCCCAGAGCAGCTGTGGCTTCCTCTGGATCCCTGTGCAGCGGCGGCTGACCTTTAGGTGTGTCCCGGCTAGCTGCGGCCAGCACCACCGGCAGCATGGGGGCACTCTCCCGATCCGGGGTTCGGTCGGGGGACAATACAACATCCCTGGAAGTGTCCAAGGCCAGGTTGGATGGGGCTTGGAGCAACCTGGGATAGTGGAAGGTGTCCCTGCCCAGGACAAGGAGTGGGATGAGATGGGCTTTAAGGTCCCTTCCAACTCAAACCATTCTGGGGCTCTGTGATTACTTAACCATTACTCCATATCTCTCTTTACACTGCTCTGTGCCTTCTGCTGTTCTCTGAAATCCTTGACATTAGCTGAGGGCAAGACAAGGCACTGAATGGGTGAGGTGTGGCATTCTCTGTGCTCCTGCAGAGTTACTTGTGTTGGGAACAGGGTGCTAAGAGACAGGATTCCTGAAATGAGCCTCTTCCTCCAGGGGAGGTTTTGCTGTTTGGTGTTTGTGGAAGGAAATCACTAGTACTTTGAATCATTAGTTTAACTTAGCTTTGCCAATGGTAGCTCCTTCAAGCATTTTTCATGATCCCAGTGCATTATTGTCAGGTCTGGAAACATGGAGAATTTTTCCAGAGAAGCCCCATGGATGTTTTGTGGGTCTGTGTTGATTTTGTCTGGTTGGTGTTTGTTTGAGCAGAAAAAACATCTGTCCTCACACGTGCCTTGGAAGTTGGCTTTGGAGAGTAGTAGCCAGAGGTCTCCCTTCTAAAATGTATGTGATGTCAGTATTGCTTTCCCTGTCATCCCCATTCCCCCTACCACCCCCACTGCAATGAAGGAAAAGGTTCAAGGTTTCTGGAGTGAGATCAATGTTAATCATCAGATAACAGCCATTAGGGCAAAAGCTTGCCTTGTTTTCTGCCTTGCTGCCAGCTAGTTCCCCCCAAGTTTTCCATGGATGCTGTTGAAATTCTTGGCTCAGTCACACATGAAAGAGTTTCTGGCTGTGTGTCATGTACAGTAAGGTTTCCTTGCCTTCTCCAGTTCTTTGTCTGCCCTCCTCTGTCCTGATTTTGGATGATTCCTATGGGGCAGTGTGGGCACAGTCTCTCTACAGAGCGTACGACAGGGAGCTCACACTCTTCTTGTCATGGCTGGATGAATGCCTGATATGGGATTGAATTTATAAAACAACAAAACCATGATTGTTTGTTATTTCTGGCTATGATTATTTATAATGTATTGAGTCCTTGAGGAGCACCTCAGTGGTTCATGGTGTTGGGCACCTGGTTGGTGCTTGGGCAGACTCAGCTTCAGTGAAGTTGTCTGATGTGCTGACCTCTGTTATTATTTTATACCTGACAGTCAGTTTCCTGTCTGTATCCCCCAGATATGAACCAGTTTGTTGATCTGGTGGGAATTGTGCTGTGACTCACATATGTGCCTTTTAGTATGGGCAACATTTCTGGCTGTAGAGTGATCACTGTAGGTTCAGCAGGACAGGGATGCTCCAGCCCCAGCCGTGCTGCTGCCAGGCTCCAGAAGTGCAGTGTAATGAGATAGATTTTAGGGGCTGTCAGGCTACAAATTTTGCTTTATGAAGGAATTTGTTGCTCAGAGGGGTCTGGATGTGCTGCACTGTGTGAGCAGTGGCTGTGTGAGCACAGAGATCACTTACATCTTATTCAGGTGGAAGTCAGGCTCAGACCAGGAGGTGGCTGCTGTTGGGAATGATGTGGTCCTCTGTGCTCCCTTCTCAGGTGTAGTCATGTGCTATCAAGGCTGTTTCAGCATATGCTTAGATCTATATTTGATTATCAGACTTCTCCCTTGAAATATTTTCTCATGAGGAGTTTAGGCTCTGCATGGGTCAAGCCTTCAGTGTGACACACAAAGTCTCAGGAAGCTTTAGGTCTCACTTGGTCACTGTGGAGAAGCTGTTCATAGACAATGCCCTATGATTTGATAAATTATCTGTTGCAACACTGAAATTCTTGTGTGAAGCTCTTGGTTTTTCCAAATCTGGTGAGCAAGGAGCACTTGGATTAATTTCTTTGTGCAACAGGATGAATGCGTGGTGAATATTGAGCACATTGTTGTAGTCACAAAGCAGAGGGAAAAGTTAGGATTGTTTTTTCCCCTCAGAAAGGAGCACATCCCTACACTTTGCCTTTCATGACTGAGGCACACTTGAGTGCCAGCTATGGCACTGTGACTTTTGAAGAGCTGGGCATGGTGAAAGCCTCTCCAGCCACTCTTCAGGGGACTTCTCTGGGCCTGTTGCAGTTTTTGTGAGGCATTTAGGGCCCTGACACCTTGTAAAAACTTAGGAGATTTAAAAGAAATAACCAGCTGCCAGTCCTTTTCAAATGGGGATTCTTCAGTCTTCTGACATAAAATAGCCCCAAAAAGTATTTACTCTGGTGTTGCTTTTTTTCAATGACTTTGCAAATAAAGTCAAAACTTCCTCAGCATTTCTAATTTGTTTATCAGACTAGACAGACTGAATCTGGTATCTTTGTCCCAGTTAGGCAGCAACTGCAGGTTGTGCCATGGCTGCCTTTTCCCACAGTTCTGCTGTCACCAAGCAAACTCATGGGTAACTGTGCTCCCCGACCTCTCCAGCACTGCTGCCCACCCAGCCTGGGAAAGCTCAGGCTGACTGAGCCTGGAGTAAGAAGCAGGGTGGTTGCCCATGGCTGAGCAGCTGTGGGGGTTTGTTTTAGGAGCTAAGTGCCTGGGGAGCTGGCTCTGCTCTGGGTGTTGTGGCTGACCCACTGCTGCCAGATGTTTTTTTCTCAGTTACCTGGAGACAGTTAATTTTGTCCTATTTTCCTGGATGATACTCCATGCCATATGCTGGTTATTCACCATGAGCACGTGTTGGGGTGGATCCAGGCAGATCTTCAGAGCTGACGATGAGAAGCTTGGGGAGGAATTATGAGGAGGACATGATTTTCCTTCCCTTTGTTCCTGTGAACAAGCAAAGCAGGCAATACAGGAGGGAGAAAGTTGTGGTTGCATCTGACAAACACAAAGCCCAGGCCACAGAGACCCAGCAGGAGCTGTGCCAGATCCTGGCAGTGTCTGCACCGTGCGCTGTCCCCAGCATCCCCTGCCTCCCCTGCTGCTCCGGGGATTCCCTGCACGAGCTTTGAGCCCTTCCCAAAGCTGTCTGCTGCGTCAGCTCTGTCTGTGCTGCCCCTCTACAGCAGCGTGCGTGTGTCTGTCTGTCTGTGGAGCCGTGTGGGGTGCATGTGCCCCAG